TATTCTTTTTTAAATTTCTAATAAGTGGTGGAGACTCCAGCCTGGCGCCTCTGGGAAAATACCCAGGTTCCCCTGCCCTAAGGCCGGCACTGCTTACCATGGAACTAGAAAAAGCAAAGAACAGAGTGGAATATAATGTTGAATGGCCTTCAAAACAATCAAAACCTCCTGGCAAGATCAAAATAAGCTTGACAGGAGAAAAAGCTAAAATTTCCAGATGGTGAAGATAGTGATTCTCTGAGACAGAGAATTTATTTCATTAGTTGGAAAATTTAACACGAGACAAAAAAAGAACTTCCGAATCGCAAAAAGCAAAGAAGTGATTTACACATCATTAGGTTACCTAGAACTTACCAAACATTCGTAAATCAAACCATATTCATTTGAAGTTAAGTTAAGTACGTTAAAAACGATACTTTCATAGACTATTCTGTTTACATTCATGCACTCTGTTAGAGCCGTCCCTACAGTAGTAGACAAAAAAGTGAATAACATGTGTGATCAAATACTCGCTTTCTAGTCAAATGTTTTACACATTTTCATTTGAAATATCGTTTCTCAACATTTTGGAATGTGACTGTATTCGTATCATGATTTGATCATTATTAACAAAACTATTGGTGTTACTACAATAAATTTGATTGCTTTTACCTAACTAATACCTGTCTTTCAAACTAACTAAAAGCTATAAGTTAGAATTAATGGCTCTAAAAGATTATTTGGCAGAGATACGATCAAAAAAGTTACATAGAGCATTACATTTTTGTCTTGGGTCTGCAAAAATAATTGAACCGAAACTATAAAGCTCATAGAACAAAAATTATGCATTTTTTTTTTTGTATCTTGAAAATTTTTAGTTTTTGTTCTTATAGGATTTTGCAGTATAGCTGTCAATATGCTGTTTTGGATCAAACTTAGTCATCATTATTTGTGGGTCCACCACGTCTTGAAAATATTGATTGGGATGTAGTGAGCTGATTTTTCTATCTGTAGAACATTTATTCCATTACTGTTATTATGTAATAATTATTCCACTAATAATGTACAGTACTGTTTTGACGAAATCCTATTCTGAAACACTCAGAATGTGTGTCTTCCATTTCTGAATGAAATTCAGGACACTTTCGCATGTTGACATACGCTGATGCATGGGACAAAATCTACATTCCAGTATCTGTAATGTATAGTGGAGAGCACCTTACTAATAAACCAATTTTAATTACATTTCATTTTACCTGATAATCTACCAAGATTTGGATATGCAAATACATTTCTTAAGGATAGATATGGTTATTTCCAGTATTTTTTCAAAAATTTGATTATTGTTTTAGTTTAACACGTTTAGTTTTTCAAATATGGACTATAAATATTCAACACATCTGATTACAAACGTACAAATGTATGCTGTGTAAAAAAAAATAATTAAAATACAATAAAATATTTTTTCATTATTTTCAGCTCAAATCGTTTCAAAATACTCAAATACTCACTGGATCTTACTGAATAATTTAATTCTTCTTCTTCTTTGTCTTCCTCTTATGCCATTAATTAGCGTCGAGGAGCCTCAACCAGTGCAGCCACTCTTCCCGGTCCCTGCTTAGTCGCTTCATCTCATTAAGGGTTTTGCCTCTTTTACATCCAATCCTTTGAATGTAATCCTGGAACGTGAGTCTGGGGCGTCCGCGTGGTCTCCTTCCTGTGGGTCGAGCCTCTAATATCCTTATAGGATTCAAATTCTCATTCATGCGGCAGACGTGTCCAAACCACTGGAGTTGCCGTCTTTCTAAAGTAGTTTTAAGTTCGGCAACTCCTAGCTGCTCTCTAATGCTTTCATTCCTAATGCGATCCCTTCTAGTTCTGCCAACAGATCTGCGAAGGAACCTCATTTCTGCTGCCGTTATGCGACTAGAGTGCCTGTCTAGCATTGTCCAGCTTTCTCCGCCGTAGGTGAGTGTAGGTAGGTAAACAGACTTATATACGTGCATTTTGGTCTTCTTGTCTACTTCGCGATGGCCGATAATGCTATTAGTAGTCTGGTAATATACCTGATTCGCCTTACATATTCTACTTGATATTTCGGCGTCTATCTTACCAGAACTACTAATTACGGTCCCCAGGTAGGTATATTCAGTCACCACCTCAAGTGTCTCGCCATTGCAGATCAGCTGAACATCTTCTCGCTCTTCCCTCGTCATAACCAGCACTTTACTCTTGGAGGTGTTAATTTGCATCCCTTTCCTGAGCAACTCTTCCTCCCACTCTACCAAAGCTTGTTGTAGTTTGGTCTTTGTGTCGGCTATTAGGACTATGTCATCCGCGTATAGAAGGCTTTGTATGAGGACAGTTCTCAGATTCCACTTCCCAATTGTTGTCCACGCAGTTCGGCGTTTACAGATTTTGTGGATTTCATCCATTACATTTATAAATAGAAGGGGACTTAAGCTATCTCCCTGTCTAACTCCTCTCGCAATTGGAAAAGGTTCCGATTCCATACCGTTCATCCTTACCACTGCCATGGCTCCTTGATAGGCTGACTGTATGGCCGCCAGCAAGTCTCCAGGTACACCCTTGGCTATTAGGGCATTCCAAATTTCTTTTCTTGGAACCACATCAAACGCTGACTTCAGATCAAGGAACGCAAGATACAGATTTTTATCTCTGTCCCAAGCTTTTTCAGCAATATTTCTGAGAACAAAGATGTGATCCTGCGTCTGTCGGCCTGGACGAAAACCAGCCTGTTCCGCTTCTAACTGCCCTTCCACAATCCGTCGGAGTCTCCTTTCTAGTATGGAAGTATAAAGTTTATAGACCACTGATAGCAGACTAATGGGTCTATAATTTTTGCAATCTGTCGTGCATCCTTTTTTATAAATCGGGAGGATTATACAATATTCCCAGTCCATGGGAATTTTCTTTCTGTCATATACTTCTTGGAACAGCGATTGTAGTGCTTTAAGAAGTTCTTGACCACCGAATTTTAAATATTCTGGTGCGATTCCATCCCTTCCTGATGCCTTACCTCTTTTTAGCTTATGGATTGCATTTTCTATTTCTTCTTCCTCTATAACCTCCAGGCTTTCTTGAATATTGGGCTCTTGTTCTTGATAATGGTCTGTTTCTGGATTTTCGGAGAATTGTTCCTGGAAATATTCCTTCCATCTGCCAAGGATCTTTTCCTTGTCTGTAAGTAGGATTCCATCGCTACCTTTTACATTTCTAATAGGCTTGCATTGTTTTCCTCTTAACATCTTAACTTTTCGCCAAAATGTTCTTATAGATTCGCGGTGATCCTCGCTGAGCCTTTTACCAAACTCCTCCCACGACTTCTTCTTCGCCTGGCGTATGGCTACCTTACATTCATTCCTGGCTATTCGATATAAGTGTAGCTTTCCTTCAGTTCTATCCATAAGGTATGCTTTCCAGGCAAGCTTCTTCCGAGAAACCAGTCGTTGGAGATCATTGGTCCACCAGTCTGTCCGCTTTCCCTTGCCAGACACTCTCTTCTTCCCACAAACTGTATTTGCTGTTTCCAGAATACATATTTTCAGTGCCTTCCATATCTCTTCCACATCTCCATCGAATGACGTTTCCCTTAATTTATTTTCCAGGCTTTCTGTAAAGAGGGCCCTTTTCTCTGGGTCATCCAAGGCAGTCATCCAATAATTTAATTCATAAAACATAAAAATTGGTTGAGCCCTTCGCTCAAAAAATTGTTACATACTTATTAGCGGTCAACCTAAAAACATTACCCTCCTTGTGGATTCGCTGTAATTGGATAAAAATATTGTAATTTTAGTGTGTTATTCAATTAAATCGGCTGTAACTTTGAAAATATTGACTCGTCACGTGCTCTCATTAGACTCTCAAACCATAAGCTATAATTCATCGTACTTGACTTTCTTTGTGTAAATTATTTTTTAAATATCTTCCCCCTATTCCGAGTATCCCAGAAAGTGTAGTCCTCTCAAAATTTGGGCAGAGTCAACAGTTTTCAATTTCTACTATCAAGAGGAAGTCAATGATCAAACATTGAGGGTGCATTATAATATATTGCTATAACCCTTAGGAACAGAGTAGTGATCATAAAAGTCAATCATTCCTTCCATAAAACTCCAAAAATTCCTTATGAAAAATTATTGTAATAGCTTGAAATGCGTGTTTCCTTAGCAGTGTATTTACTTAACATAAAACTTGGAAGGTATTAAGGTGTACACTAGGATTATGTACAACCTTTTTTTTGCTGTTTTCCTACAGACTGAACTACTGAATACTGCGGCACTCAAGGTTGCCAACTGTTCCAGGAGCGTTCTATTCACTTTTGGTTGTAGGGTAGTTCAGATTCTACCATGTGCTGTTAAGTTTATTAAATTTATAATAATTGTTATTGTTTTAAATTGTTTACAGTCACTATAAATAAAGTTCAATTATAGTCAACTTAAGCGAAGACTTTCTCATGGACATATTGTTATTATATCAGCTTTCTGAGAAAACCACTATATACTTACAACACAGAGAAAAATAACTAAAATTAATGTTATTTATATTGAAGTATTAAAAAATTTACCATGTTAGTAAAAAACTTTTTTAGATTTAAGTCATCAAACTAAAGACGCTTTTTGTAAAGTGTTTATTTTCTGTAAAGCATAATTCCTTTTGTTTTTCCACATGTAGGAGTAATAATATTCAGCTGATCCGATGCACTTGGTTATATTTTCATTTTGTATGAATAAGGCATACATATCTCAAGTCTTATCATTGGCAAAACTGTGGAGAGCAAGTGCATTTTATTATTAAAATGATTTGCTTTTGTTTTTAAATTAGATTTATTTCTGGTTTTAAATTATTATATTGATTTTGGAAACATAATACATGATATGTATTAATTTGAAATTTAATGGTTGTTCTTTTTATTATATAAGTGTTTAGTTATTGTGATCAGTTTTAAATAAACTCAATTCCAAAATGTTTGAATCTATTAATTAAATTATTATTAATTACAGATTGAAAAGTTTTTGATCGAAGATCCTGAAGGTTGTTCAATATTAAGTAATGGCAGTATACGCCCCCTTACTTTGAAATTGTTTATTGATGTTGTTGATTTATTACTGAGACGCATCATCAATGCTGGACAAGATTCATATATTAACAAAACAAATTATATTACAGAACTTCCATATATCATGAAAAAATTGATGTATAGAGGAAAAATTGAGAAATCGTGGCTTATATCAGGTATTAATTCTCTCTCTCTCTCTCTCTCTCTCTCTCTCTCTCTCTCTCTCTCTCTCTCTCTCTCTCTCTCTCACCAAAATCCTGCCTTACTTTCTGGACAAACCAATAATTAAAATAGTTACTTTTTAATGATTCAGTAACAACTTTATCTGACTGATCTTCAAATCAAATATATTTTGTTGATGACAAGGTTCTAACTGCATTTTGACTAATTCAACATAAAATCATGGGTAAGATTTTTTATCATTGAACCAATTTCAAAAGTTCATTTACAACCATTTAAAGTAATGAAGAAAAACCTGAAAAGTTTTATCACTTTAAATTTTCAAACTCATTTTTCTGAAGGTTTAGGTTAGACCAGTCATCATTTTTAGTTACTTGTACTGGTGGGGGGACCTAGTCCAGCAAGTGGGTCCACTTGGTCCTTTTTGCCAACCCCAAAGATTTGATACTATCAGTGGTTGTCTATTGTACCTTTATTCTGTCTCAAATCTTTTTGTTATTCTAATGAAGTTCAAAAGGTTGGACCATTTTATGGAGGCAGCTTTGTATACTTGGATTCTGTCTGCTCCCAGAAGTCTGTATCTGAGTGACGCAAATCTGTCACATTCCATTATGAAGTGAAGAGCAATTTCGGGTGCACTTCTCCAGAGATTACAGAGTTCATCATCCACTATCCCACAGATCTTTAAATGTCTTTTAAGTCTGCAGTGGCCTGTTAGTACTCCGATGATGAGTTGGATATCTTTCCTGGTTAGGCTCAGCAGCCACTTTGTTTTGGACGAAGAGGAGCTTTTAATAAATTACTTTGCTTGTCTAAGCCCCATACATTCTCTCCATTCTTTACTTGCTTTTTTCAAGTCCAATCAAGGACTTCTTTGTACTGATGCTTTTTGGATATTCCTATTGCAGGTTCCGGGCCTACAATAGGAAATTCTGCTCCTTTCCGTGCAAGGACATCGGCTTATTCGTTGCCTTTAATTCCCTTGTTACCTGGGACCCACACTAGTTCCACCCTCTTGGAGCAGGCCAGTTTCTCCAACGCCCGTTTACACTCCTGCACTAGTGTGGAGGTCACTTTGGGAGACTGCAATGCTTGTAGTGCTGACTGACTATCCGAATAGATAGTGACCATTCTCGCAATTGGTAACTTCTAAAAAGGTGGCTGCAGAAAGTATTGCAAACACCTCTGCTTGAAATACTGTAGCATGTTTACCTAGCGGTATGCTTAGTTCTATATTTAGGTTCTCTATATAGATTCCTACACCCATTAAACTAGTTGAATCTTTCCTTGAACCATCAGTAAAACAGGGCAGATAGTCCTTTTGAGTCTCTACAGAATCCTGTGCCCAGTCTATTATGTTAGGGTACAGGTTTTCATCAAGCGGTGGAGAGAGGTACCGTAAGATAGGTAGCACATGATGGTTGTAGTTAGAAAATCGTATAAGAAAAACCTACTTGTCAAAATATTCACAAAAACTAATAATATTTTAAACCAAAGTAACTTCTTATAAAATATGACCTCCTCCAAAAAACAAAGTATGAGCAGCTGACTCACTCACTTAAACTGAAGTATGAGACTACTGTAAAACTAGGTAAAACGAAAATTCAAGATGTTAAATCTCCTCTACCATTCCTCCTTTTCATTATGATATGCTAATACCATTATATTAAATAAAGAATGAAACTCTAAATGTAATTTATCTTGAATATGAATCTGAATTAGAAGAGATTGGGCGATACCAGTGCGGATTCAGACGAGGAAGGTCAACGATCGACAAGATATTCTGTCTGAGGACTATTTTGGAAAGGGGACAGGAATATAAGCTCAAAACCCACCACCTCTTCATCGATTTTAAATCAGCCTACGACACAATCGACCATCAAAAGCTGTACGATGCTTAACGCCAGTTCAACATCCCCTCCAAACTTATCAGACTGACCAAGTTAACAATGGGCGAGGTTGTGTATGTTGTTAAAATAAAGGGGAACGTATCGGAGGAATTTTCTACAAGAAGGGGTGTAAGACAGGATGATGCCCTGGCATGCCTCCTCTTTCTCTTGGCCCTACGAAAAGCAGTTCGTGAATCCAAAATACAAACATCTGGCACGATCTTCAATAGGACTGTTCAGCTCCTCGCTTTTGCCGACGATATAGACATTATTGGGCGTTCTCAGCAAGCAGTTGCACAATCATTTTGGATTCACGAACATCTTTTTCTAGGGCCAAGAGAAAGAGGAGGCATGCCAAAATTACATTTACAGTTTCGTTCTTTATTTAATATAATGGTATTAGCATATCATAGTAAATCGGAGTAATGGTAGAAGAGATTTAACACAGTAAATTGGTAATGATTTTTTGGAATAAACTGCCAATAGATACCTAATTATTCAATTCTAGAGTTATAGTAAATGTATTTAAGGTTATAAACATATGTTTTATACATCCATGAAATAATTTTATATTTCACTTCTTTTACACAAGTACAATGAAATAGTTTATTAACCAATGTCATTTGCCTTGATTCCATATACTTTTTTCAAACTCAAAAGTAATTTAAATTTAGTTGGAAAATTTCATTTAATTTCCTTGGAAACATGTGATTTCCATTAAATAATATTCATTTTCAGAAATTATTATTTATATTTTTTTTGTCACTCTCCATTATCTTCTACATTCTACATTAGATATTGTTTTTTCTAAAATTCTCCGCTTTCCAACAATATATTGTACATATACCATCTGACTATTATTTCCAAAGATTCATTTTCGACGTAAATAAACATTTTTCCTTTTTTCTTCTTTATTCATTTATCAAATTCTTTCAAAAGTTATATTTAGCCTTTTTTCATAACTGCTATCAATGAGAGATAGTCAATTATTTAAAATAAACCAAATTGTAGGTACTTTAGAGGAAGACATTTTGAACATTATACATTTGAGCCCTGTTATGGACCTCAATGTGGATAAGACCTAAATGATGTTAAATACCACTTAAATATACATTAATTCATTTTGAGAAAATTATAAAAATGTTTTAAATTGATTATATAAAGTGGCATTTCTGGTTAGCCGATTTTAAGGAAAAAGTTGCTCTAACATCCCAGGCTTATACTTAACTTAAATATATATTTTCAGTTTCGTACGACTTTTCATTTATGAGCTAGACAGTTACGCAGACCAATTTTCGGGACTTGGTTATTTAGACTCTGGGGACCTCAAAACGTGTATTTCCACATTAAAAACACAAATTCGAAAATTTTGACGATCGCAATACTTTCTCTTACTGTATATTATATATATATATAGGTAAGTGAAAGTAAAAATTAGCTGTGAAGCTGCCAGTGTTATCTTTTAGTTAACCAACAAATGGAATTAAGTTTAGCCGACAGTTCGTGAGAATTATTATGACGCTGACATATTTAATGTGGAGAAATGCAATTTTTTTAAGAAGTTAATGTTCGACCGGACTCAACATTCTAAGATCTAAAAATGTTCTAATGGATATTTATTTATCCATAGACCGAATTACTGTTAATAAGGTCACCACTTTATTAACAAGCTAAAAAAGTTTAGTTTTCTAAAAAAAAAAAAAAAATCCCTTATAAAGCTTTAAAAATGCTTCCTCTAAAACATTATATTGTAATTTAAAATACTGATTTTTTTTTTCATTCAAATCATTTTGTAGTCAATTTTCTTTCATTTATAATAAATAAATTTAATTATAATTTTATTTTATAGTGAACACCACTCGATCCTGGTGTCATGCTCTTGCATGTATGGATTTCTTAGTTTCTATGATCAGTACTCAAATGGTGGTTGATCCAACTTCTCTTATGTATCCTGAAACTTCTTGTAAAGAAGACGGTGATATTTGGGATTACAAGGTATATAGTTTATTTTGATAAATGTCTGCATACTCATGTAATTGTGATTTACATCTTTATTTATTTAACCCAATAGTGGCCAGAACTTTGTTCATTTGAAAATTTTATAGAAATTCATTTTTTTTTTTCAACAAATTTCAATCAGTTTCATCAGATATTACTTCAGAATCCAGTGAGACAACACTGGCCCCACATATCATTTTAAATAATACTAATATGATATTTAATACATAAATGAGATTTTAAAGAAAAATTCTTCAGACCATTACTGGAATTAGATTATTAGTTCATTTAGCAGGAAGCCTAAAAGAAGATTGCCTATAGAAACTGGTCAGTATATCATAATACAATAATAACATGGATGGAGAATATAGCTCAAAACATTGCCCAGGACATTTCTAATTGATAATGAATGCAACGGCAGTCGGCAAGAGATTACTTGTTGAAACATATTATTAAGATTAGGACAATTCAAATTGTTGCTAATACTTATTTTTTCACCCTCTACATTATTTTCACTAAACTCGTGAATTACATTTAATCCTGACAGACTTTCACTTCCCGTGTATCTACTGTTAGAGTTTTCACATTGTCTATTTTCATTAAGTAGGCTTTTTACAACTGATTCTGCCTTGTTTTCTATAATAACAACATTCTCATTAGATTTTCCAAGAATTATAGTATTAAGATCTCTACCTTCCATTATCTCTCTCTCTGGTTATTTTCCATATTACTCAAAAATTATTAATAAAACTATACAATTAAAACATATTGTTTCTGTGAGTTGTGATCTGATTGTCGTGACCTGATTTTTAAAGAATAAGGCCATGCATAGTTGAGCTCCAAAATGTAACATCCCTCTTATATTTTATAAATAATAATAATATAACCTTGGAAGCTCACTTCTTACCATTGGAATACTTCCTAAATAAATAATAAGAGGTTGTGTAATAATAAACAAAATTATAAGAGAATTAATATATTTATTTATCTCGGGTGTGGGTTACTGACAATCAGATCAACTCAGACAAACTATTATTATTTACACTATTTATATTAAAATTAAACATTGATTTTAAAATAAAGTCAAGTATGAATTGACAAGCTAACATTTTTTCTACATACAATGTTTCTTCCTTTGTGGGCACTGACCTCATTTGTCTTCACACATTTTCTTATGTTCTGCCAAACACATATCCCAAAATGGTAACACTATTCTTCCACTCAACTCAAGCTCTCTGGGAAATCCTCTCTCTTGCAATTCCAAACAACTATTCTCCCTGCCAAACAAGATCTTCTAAGATGGTAAAACTATTACTGGGTTTTACCCACTGGAGCCAGGATAGGATATCTTCTCTTAACCTCTCTTCACTGCAGTCACACAACAACTGTTTGCCAAAACCAAAAGCTTTTTCCCTTTCCTCTTTGGGATTTTCCATCTTGGGAAACTACAGAGCAGCCATTTTCTTTTCCCTGCACTAGTAGAACTACATTAGCTTGCCTTTTAATTGTTCAATATTAATTTATTAAACCCTTTTTACTCACTTTCAATAAAGATGTACATTACAATATATATATTTAACAATTTAAATAGTTGGCCTCATTATTTTTTATTATTATTATTAATCATAAAGTTTATACTTCAAGATTAAGATGCTTGTTTCATTCTGATGAATTTTTTTTTTCAGCTTTTGCTTCCATATGCTCAAGAGTCATATGAACTGTTCACATCTTGCACCACAAATTATGATGAACTACAGGCAGCCTTGGATCAAAGATTTGTAGAGATGCACAGTATGTTCACAAATTTAATTGTATTCAGTTAAATCTAATAATAATAAGGCTTAGCGAACCCGAAGGTTCGATGCCGACACCACCAATCGCTTGTTACACACCTCTCTCCACCGTTAGCCGTCCAGACCCAGTCCCTTCAGATCGGCTTTGATGCAATCTTCCCACCTTCGCTTCGGTCTACCCCTCGGATGCTTACCATTCGGCACAGCAAATATTAACCTTTTAGGAATTCTCTCGTTACTAAGCCCAACAACTTTACAAGCCCATTTGATTCGCCGCGATGAAATTACCTCAATTATATTATCCGGATACAGCTCACGCAATTCGGCGTTGTGTAACCGTCTGAACTCTCCGGTTAACTCATCCTTCTTCGGTCCGAATATTCTACGCAATACTTTATTTTCAAAAACCTTAAGACGCTGCTCATCCCTTAATGTAAGCGGCCAAGTTTCGCATCCATAAAGAACTGTAGGCAAGATAATTGTTTTATAGATTCTAATTTTTAAGTTTCGGGACAAGAGGCGCGAACTAAGTAGTTTTGTCACAGAAAAATAACAAGCATTTCCCGCCTTCAGTCTAACCTTAATTTCTTCTTCAATTTCGTTTTTTCTAGTTATCGTAGAACCTAGATACCTAAACTTATCTACCTGTTCAAACATATTACCATCTATATCGATATCACCAGTAGTATCGCCATTTTTGCAGCTAACCATATATTTTGTTTTATCCACGTTTATTTCGAGTCCTAGTTCTTTACCGGCTTTCATTAACGTTGTCGTATTTAGTTTTATAGTTTCAACGTCTTCGCTTAACAGTACCAGATCATCAGCATAGCCCAGCACGGATGTTGTCCCGCCCAGATCCAACCCTTTCTCGGTACGCATTACCTCCCTAATGGCATGTTCTAATTCCAAATTGAACAGTACAGGCGAAAGGGAATCCCCTGTTTTAAACCCGAACGAACCTCAAATTTTTCCGACAGATTATTACCGATTCTAACTTTATTGACCTTGTCTCCGTCAAGCACATCCTGACTAGATTTACTAGTTTTTTGGAATCCCCTGCTCGATTAGAATATTATACAGTTTCCGGCGGTCAATAGAATCGTAAGCCTTTTTAAAATCTATATACAGCTGGTGAACAATACCGTTGTAATCCAATTTTTCCTATAATATCTGCCGTAAAGAAAATATTTGATCAATAGTCGAACGATTCCGTCTAAATCCGCATTGGTAGTCTCCCATAATTTCCTCGGCGTATTCCGTGATTCGACTGGTTAAGATTAAAGTAAATATTTTATAACATACCGGAAGGAGTGAAATTCCTCGATAGTGATTACAATCCGTCCTCGGACCCTTTTTGTGAATCGAAATAAGAATAGATTCTTTCCATTCTTCAGGTAATTTCTCATTCACCCAGATCTTTTTAACCAACCAATGTATTTTAGAAACTCCAGCTTCCCCGCATGCCTTAATTAGTTCAGTAGGAATATTGTCGGTTCCCGCTGTTTTATAAGATTTTCCGATAGATATCTTCAACGCTCATTACGCTCATTACTACGGATAACGCTCATTATCCGGAAGTAAACTAGTCCCCGTTCGGGTCTCCGGGTGGGGACTGCTTTAGGGGATTCATGGCGCAAGTTGAAATATAGGGATTTAAATATTTCAGATATATTTTAAAATTTTATGTACCAGATCATCAGCATAGCCCAGCACGGATGTTGTCCCGCCCAGATCCAACCCTTTCTCGGTTCGCATTACCTCCCTAATAGCATGTTCTAATGCCAAATTGAACAGGACAGGCGAAAGAGAATCCCCCTGTTTTAAGCCCAAACGAACCTCAAATTTTGTGGACAAATTATTACCATATACAAATTAAAGAAAATATTTGATCAATAGTTGAACGATTACGTCTAAATCCGCATTGGTAGTCTCCGATAATTTCCTCGGCGTATTCCGTGATTCGACTGGTTAAGATTAAAGTGAATATTTTATAACATACCGGAAGGAGTGAAATTCCTCGATAGTTATTACAATCCGTACTCGGACCCTTTTTGTGAATCGGAATAAGAATAGATTCTTTCCATTCTTCAGGTAATTTCTCGTTCACCCAGATCTTTTTAACCAACCGATATATTTTAGAAACTCCAGCTTCCCCGCATGCCTTAATTAGTTCAGTAGGAATATTATCGATTCCCGCTGCTTTATATGATTTTAATTTTCCGATAGCTACTTCAACTTCCTCTTTACTTGGTCCTTCTATTAACGGTTCAGCACTCTGGTACTCAGAAGGAGGACACAGATCATAATTTTCCGTATTTAAAATATTGTCAAAGTGGTCCTTAAACTTATTCAATATGTCAACCGGATCGGTCAGAATATTGTTATTATCATCCCTAATTCCAGACGTTACGGGCCCTACATATTTACGTGATCTGTTTATACCTTTGTACATGTCTCTTACGTTATTTTCGATTCTATTAGTTTCTATTTCAATTATTTTATTTTTAAGATACTCCCTTTTTTTATTTTTGAGCAATTTTGTCGTTTTGTTCTTTGAGATTCGGAAGTATTCCAGATTGTCTTCGCTAGGATTATTTAGAACTTTTAATTTAGCGGCTTTTCTTTTTTCACACATGTTTAAGCAATCTTCATCAAACCACGTTTTGTTATTCTTATTTTCCTTTTTTCCTAGACACGAGCTACCGACCGCTTTAATATTATCCCTGATCTCTATCCATAACATGTCAATATCCTCGTGGTCCTCGTCAGGAAGCTTTAAAGCTTCAAACCTATTCTTAACATCTAGCTCGAATTAGTTTCTAATTGATGGATTTTTTAATTTTTCAAATTAAAATTCTCAAAATCGAAACGGTTTTCTTTCCTCCTTTTTATATTAAGTTTTTGTCGAAGTTTCGCGATTACTAATTCATGATCTGACCCACATTCTGCTCCGCGATAAGACTGTACATTAATTATACTGCTTTGCCAGCTGTGTTGTATCAAGACATGATCGATTTGATTTCGTGTTTGCGAATCCGGTGATGTCCAAGTATATTTATGAATATCCTTATGTTTAAACGTCGTACTTTTAATTATCAGGTTTTTCGAGATGGCAAAGTTTATCAGACGGATCCCATTATCATTACTATATTCGTGCAAACTTTCTTTACCAATCGTCGGAATATAAACTTCTTCCCTTCCTACCTTTGCGTTCGCGTCACCTACAATTATTTTCATGTAGTTTCGCGGTAGTTTATCATAAACCCATTCGAGTTTATCGTAAAATTCACTTTTGACTTCATCGTCACTGTCTTCGGTCGGACAATGTATGTTTATTAATGCGATTTTAAACCAACGTCCCTGAAATATAGCTACCGAAATTCTATCACTAACGAATTGTACGTCCCTCAAAGCGGATAGTAATCTACTCCTAATTAGAAACCCGGTACCTAAACAATGATTCCCGCTTCCTCCGTACCAAATAGTGTACTTTCCTTCCCTCATCGAGCCCTCCCCTGGCCAGCGAACCTCTTGCAGAGCCACGACATCCAAATTGTACCCATTTACCTCATTCGCGACCGATTTTAGCCCCCCTGCTGTGTTTAAACTCCTTACGTTCCACATACCAATATTTAAATCCCTATATTTCAACTTGCGCCATGAATCCCCTAAAGCAGTCCCCACCCGGAGACCCGAACGGGGGACTAGTTTACCTCCGGATAATGAGCGTTTTACCTTAGGGAGATCCATGACTTTTTGTGGTGTTTGGTGAACTAAAGATATGTGAGTAGGGCGTTCAATCCTACGTCACACCCTCCAGCAAGTCTGGTGGGCCCCTACCTCCAGCAAGTCTGGAGGTCCCCTCCCTCCAGCAAGTCTGGAGGGCCCCTCTCATTGTTGGTCAGCGAGTCCATCTGACTTAGCCGGGAGGAACTTCCAAGGAATTTCCACCGACCATCCCCACATCCACCACCTGTGGGACGCTCCCCATACGCGGTAATGAGCTCGCGCGAGGTCAGTTAAATCTAAACCACATAATATATTTATTTTACTATGAAAGTTTATTTTTCTTACTTGGGATATATTTGTTGAATTGAAAATCATAAGATTTGCTTAAAGCAAATTTTATTTGGGAAATTAAATTGTTAGGTAGATGAGACTTCGAGTTAATTTAAACAGACTCGATTTCAGGGTTCCCTGCTTACACGTTTACATTACATACAAAAATCTTCAAATATTTAGAAAACTGATGTAAAGAAACTGCTGATTACTACTACTATTACTAGTTCATGAAAATTTTGAAAATGAATTAATTCATTTCTGTTTATCTTAATTGACTTTTCATAGTCAAATTTCGTTTTAATTGAAAAAGGAGGATATTTTATTTTAATGAAGTGAGAGTATGGCCATAATGTCAAATTAAATAAACATAAGGCTAGATAATGTTTTCTGTAATTTATAATTGTATTATAAATTATAAATCATAATTGTATTATAAATTATTGATCATTGATTCAATAAATCAAGGAGATGATAGGAGTACATACCTAAAATAAAATATTCTGATTTAAGTATAAATAGAGTTGGCTTTTGTTTATTTGAAGGAAAAACTTATTATTTCAACTATCTTTCATATTATCATTATTTCAATAAAGCAATAAAACTTTTTTTTTCACCTTTATTAACTTTTCTTCTCAAGTTTGTCGTATAATATTTTCAGTATCTAATGATGTATACCACCATATAAATGAACTTAATGAGGAAATTCAGAAAATTGAATTACAGTGTGAAGAATATAAAGCTCGAATACAGAATGAGAAACCAGCCCTACATGTACGTAGCAGTTTTTTTTTTAAATTTAATAAAGTTAATAAATAGTTTTGGTTGCTCTACATTTAGCTTAAGTAATTAATTATAATGGTTGTTGATTTGTTTTATTAAGTTTAACAACTAATCTTGTAATTGTTTAATGTTTTTTAAAAATAATTTAGATTTTTAACTTTTCTTGTCACTATGATCCTGCAAGAAACTGGACCTTTCTTGTCACCTTTCTCCTCTGTCCCCCATTCCAGGCAAGCCTCCGCCATCTTCTGATTTCCATCATTATGATAGGGCCATAACTAAGCCATTTATGAGGTATTTTTTTATATTGTTAGGTGTATGGTGACTATAAAAACTCCAACTTTTCGCCTTTCAAGGACTAGTGGGTTTGCCACAGTCCTCCAAAAAAATCTTTAATCTTGGAATTTTTTCTTTTTTGGGGGGGGTTCACTAAATATCTCATTTTTTAAGCGATATAGCTAAACAATTGTTATTTTCAATTTTAAACAGTTTAAAATTTGCTAACATTTATGTGAGAAATTATTTATTTTTTTCAAACCCGATAAGAAACAAGCTACCGAGCTTTTTCAAAATGGAAGAAGTTTTGAAAGTTTGAAAAAAACTTGATACTTTCTTAATTATAGCTAATTATATATATATATATAATTTAATGCTTAACATGTTTATGTTAAGTATTAAAATAGGCAATAATTAGTAAAACTGTTATAGACATTTTTTTTCTAAATATGACAGCTTAATTGAAAATCACTAAAAGCAAATTAATATTTTGAAGTTTTTAAAACATCCTTATCTATTTTTATCATGATTTTATAGTTATTTTAATGAAATCAGTCATAAACAATGACTGGTTATTTAAAAATAAATTTTTTTAATATTTATTTTAAAAAAATTAATCTATATTAACAAAAACTTAAAACCGCTAATCTCCGAAACTTCTTCACCAATTGCTTTGAAATATTAACATAATGTTTCTATCGCATTCAGAAGTGTTTTTTATCTTGTATCTTTCATTTCGGAATGGCACACAGTGTAACGAAGTAATGGGATAATGGTCAAAAATCTTTAACCGCTAGTTATTTTCAAATAAACATTTTTATTAATTTATTTCAACTCAAGACAAGGTAACAATAGTATAATAATGTATACTATACAGCTATAATAATATTAATTGTAATATTTATAGAAATAATATAGGAGGTAATAATATCACGAATAACTATAGTATAAAATATAATATAAATGTAATATAATTGTAACATATAATGTAGTAATAGTATAGTAGTAAATTATACTTATAGTAATATTGCCATAGAATTATAATATTTTATCATTTTCTATGAAATTATTAAATAATTTCTTTATTCAGAGTCTGAATCGTTTGTGGATTCGTCAGAATGTAAACTTAACATCAAATTCAATGTCTATTTGATTATTAATGTGATTCTCTATAATATATTTATTAATGTCTAGACTGATTTTGCTTTGCCTTTTTACATTTTTTCTCCATAAAGCAAGCTCTGGGTTCAGATGCCAGAAGAAGCATTATCATAATATCTTTATTTGCGTTGATTCACGATTTTTTTCGGGCATTATTTTCGCGGATACGCCGAATATCCTTGTGCCTACACTCCAATGCTTCTTCTGACATTTGACCTATGGAAATAATGAATGATGAAATCACGTCGTGACCATGAATTAACAATTTATGCAATGAAACAGGCATATAATACCAGTCATAATTTTTCAAATAAATAGCCTTTGTCTTGTCTATTAATATCTTTAATTTATTTGTTTTCCACTAGCAATAACCCTAAGTATTATTGATAAATGTGAAATCAAGTCAACATCAATTCCAGTAATAGATGCTCAAAGTAGTAGCGTTTTCAAAAAACCATCGAGCGGTGTTACCGTCGTTACTTGAACCAAAACCAGCTTTTGGTTTATCCACTGTGAAACTCTTTTTGGATAAAAGCTTTTCTTTCTGTGAACAACTTTTTACATTCTTCTCCTCTGACTTGCCATTTCTTGAAATCTAAACGATAGGATATATATAACAATCATTCAAATGATCGTATCCAACAATGTAATGATAATAGACCGAAATTGTAAAACGTTTCATTGTACTGAAATGTTGTTTGTAAGTTCATGAATTTAGGAGAACATCCGCAAATATAACACTTTTGAGTGGAATTCGTATCACTAATTATATTACTTATACTCCCGTCTGCCAGAGTAAAAACCATTTCATAAATTATATTTATAGTATGGTCGCCAATATCAATATTATTAGCAACAAGTCACTAATTAATTTATCCATATTGGCCTTTTCTTGTGAAATCAATGTAGGTGACTTTTGCAAAAATAAATTTTATAGGCCGACAATAGTGTACAGATGATGGAGCTGGATTTTTCCACTTAATGTTATCTGTGCCATCAACAATTTGCAAAGGAACTAGAGCAATGAAAAAAATATACTCATCTGAATCTTCAGCAGTCCGGAATTTCTGTTTATACATGCTATGAGCAGAGCTTCCATCGAATCCCCATTTACATATTAGTTTTAGAGAATCATACGAACCTTTGTCACACGACCTTCTTGCTATAGAAGGTTTCCTGAGTGTTGGTTGGTGAATGGTTTTGATTGAGAACAAAAAATAATTCAAAACATCTAATACTTATATACAGAAAAGATATTTTTTAAAATATTTATTTATTTCAAATCAAGCTGAAACTTTTTATTATTTTTCTAAGCGTTACTAGAATCATAGATTTTTATTAAATTTTACTATTGATTATTAACCCTACAAATTGTATTTCTCAATACAATATAGTTGCCTTGGTTGATTGAAACTTGTACGTATAGATATTATTGTAGTGATAATATTAAATTTAATCAATTTAAACCTATTTTAGGAACTTGGTATGACTTATAATAATCTAAAAGACACAAGGGCGCAGGATGAAAATAAACGAAGGAATCTTGCTATTGTTGAAGAAGATCTAAAAATTAAAGTTAAAAAAAAGGAAAAAGAGTGCAATGCATTACGTAAGTATTTACTAATGACTTATAGATAGTGTTATGTTAAGTTCTGATGCTGTTTGACTTATTTATTGTCTCTGTTTATATGACAAATATTTTCTGACAGTTTTGGGAGTATTTGCTAAAAATAATTCAAATTATTTATTTTACAAAAAAATAAATGCTTGTCTTAAATTTTCCGAAGACTTGAGGAAAGTATTTAAAGGAATATATAATCTTTAGTAATATGTGTATATCTAATTACTTAAATAATTGACAATACATGTTACTGTTTTGCCCAAGTAAATAATTCAATTCAAATGGGCTTGTAAAGTTGTTGGACTTAATAACGAGAGAATTCCTAAAAGATTAATATTTGCTCTGCCGAATGGTAAGCGTCCGAGGGGCAGACCGAAGCGAAGATGGGAAGATTGCATTAAAGCCGATTTGAAGGGACGGACTGGGTCTGGACGGCGAACGGTGGAGGGAGGTGTGTAATAAGCGATTGGTGGTGTCGGCATCGAACCTTCGGGTTCGCTAAGCCTTTTTATTATTATTATTAAATAATTCAATTAAGTACATTGGTCACTAAATGGTAATATAAAATGGAAATAAGTAAATGCTTTAAATTTTAGGAAAGAAGAAATACTTTTCTTTTTTATTTATCGGTCGATTAAAATTTATCAAAACAAGTTAGTTGAAAATAATAAGCCTAAACATCTGTACAAACTCCATTAGATTGGGGGCAGGATGGCCGAATGGCCTAACACGTATATACAACACCACGAATTGCCCGGCAACCAGATAACCGAAGTTATCAGATTAAAAATAGTACGAGTTCGCGTCCTGGTGTCAGAGGGGATTGTAAATTCTCCGGCCCAGGAACATCCCGTATTGCCTAAAAGGCGAGGTAGGAGGGGAAGAACAGGAAAAAAAAAATTAGGTTGTACCTTGGCTAATAATGTTTCAATTCCAATGATTTATTGTTTTATTTTGTTGTGGATTCAGGAACTTTTCAAATTATCATTTGTATAATCAACCTTAAATTGTATATGTTCTGGATTATGTGCAAATAATTTTTCTTTTCGAGGAAGGAGATGGTCCGGGGTGGCGGTCATAAATAGAATAAAATAGTGGCAAAACTATTTTATTTCGACCCGATTTTGCAAGTCTTCTGGGCTAGAACGGACAAGATACAAAAGGATATAGAAAATTGTGGAAGATACTAATATATAGTAATTTATTAATATTTAGATAAACATTATAAACAAGGTGAATAAACATATTGAAATTATAAACAGTAAGTACATTGAAATATAAAGAACAATGAACTATATAAACAGAGTGAACTAAGTAACAAGATCCTAAACTGAAGTAAATAAATAGTAAGAATTGTTGCAGTATAATAAATACTAAATAAATAACAAAAAACACTCATTTCAGAAAATATATAAAGATAATTATTTTATATTTTAGGTGAGACTTTATTAAAAAAACAACAGGAAAAGTATGAAATTGAATCTGCTGTTTCTTCCCAAGAAATTTCTCCTCAAGAAATTGAAAAACTTAAACAGAGAAGAGATTCTCTTCAAAGAGAAATTGAAGCTGAACAGAAGTATTTGAACACATACAATGAACTTGTCATGAAAAGTAGCATGGAAGTCCTTGCTCTAAAAAAGAAAGTAAATCAGTTTTCATTTAATACTCAGGTTAAGTTTAACTGTTTTACAGATGATTTACTATCCCTAGTCTGTATTAGGCTGTGTATACCACAGGCGGATCTACGGAGGGACTTTCGGGCTGAAGTACCTCCCCCACTCCCCCTCCAAAATGGTAAAACATAACCATGTTTTACAGAAAAAAATATTAAAAACTATTTCTTAAAGTATTCTTGTTAGTGTAATTACATTTAATAGGACTTCAAGAACCGCTTAAACACCATTTCATATAGGTAGTTAATTTCTTTCCTTTTTTTTCTGATTAATTATTGTTATACGTATATGAAAAGAATCTTTCAGGCTAATTAAATCCCGGGTCCGCTGGTGGTGTATACATTGAAATGCAAAGTAGGGCAGTACAGTTTCTTCGAATTTTGCTTTATATTCCTATAACATGATTCAGGGAGCCTTTATTGTTCTACATTAGGAGTATTCATGCACTTGTTGTAAATGTGCACTTCATGCTTAATGTGCTACTATGCTAAGCAGTTAACACAAATTTTGAATGAATGGTAAATAACCTGTCTATGCTAAAGTGCTATTAGTTATAGTAAGGTTATGTATGTTCTGTAAGCAAAGTTTGTGAGTTCATAATTGATCTATTAACGTTTTTATTTTTTTTTAAGTGCCAAAGCAAAGTGAAAAGACTGAGTTGCTGGATTATTTGGTTAAAAGTGGTTTATTAGAAAGCATGAATGAAGATTCATATGATTCAGAAGGCAAAGAACTTGATGAATACATAGATAAAGTCTTTACTGTATTTACATTCCATTTCTGTGAATATCATACACAAACAAAGAATCAAAACCTTACAATAACCTTCTCTGTTTGTTTACGAAGTTAGCAACACTTTACAGGACCCTAGACTGTGTTATAATGGAGAGTAGTAGCAGCCATATTTAATACTCATTTCGTAAATAGTTTTCTGGACTACACATTTAAGAGGTTTACAATATTTAGCACTGGTTCCATGAATACCCCTGTTGTGTTACAATGGGCATGCAGCCTAATCTTCTTTTTTACTTTCCTACCTATACTAGGTAAGGAAAGTATTGCAATCGGGTCAAATTTCCGACATGCGGTTTTCGACGGATCTTTATGTTTCACAGCCCTCTGAGTCCGAAAAACACATTTTTAGCCATTGGTTTGTCTGTCTGTCTGTGCCAAGATTTTCTTGGGAACTACTGAACCGATTTTGTTGCTTCTTTTTTTATTTTGTAGGGTTTTGACTACCATTGCCTGTGACAGAAATTCGTTGCTCCATGAGCAATAGGTTGCGTGCAATAAATGAAAAACATGTTTTTCTATAGACTGTAGCGCAAAAACGGCTCTAACGATTTTGATGAAACTTTTCTATGATGTTCTAATCATTGTCCTTTCAATTTTCATATATAGACTAAATTCCCGAAAAAATTCAGGGAAAAAAGTTATAAAGAAAAGAAAAATGTTATGGGGCCTAACTCCCTAAGTATATATTATACGGTAAAATTTATAATAAAACTTTAGAAAGGTAATTAAATTACCAACAAAACAACAAAAAAAATCATCGGAATCGAACCAGTATTAGCGTTTGAAAGTTAACTAAATTCCCTACAAAGCCATATAAAAATCGTTCATTTTGAACAACTATTAACGAAGTTACAGCGATTCAATTCCCAATGAAAGATTACGAATTCATTTCCTGGTGTCAGAAAGGGATGAATAAGAGAATAAATTCCTCTACTTTTAACAGAAATTATTGTTTGATAATACTAAGCTATGGCAAAAAGTTTTTGATCAGCAATATTAGGAAGTATCGAAATTTTTACACTGATCTACCTTAAGCCGGTTTGATTGCCTTAATTTTTCAAATAAATCGTACTCAAATCTTTTGTTTGATCAATTTTCTGGATAATAAATTTAGTTCAATTCTTTTTTGTTTCTTCATGAACATATGTAAAGATATAAAAACTTTTCTGAAATGGGTAGGAAAGTCGTGTGAGTGGACACATCAGATTTTTTTAATCCAAATCATTCATTTATCCAAGGGAATGATGATTGATTGACTATTAACTGCCATTTGAAGAGGCTAATAAAGGCTTTTTCTTTTTTAAATCTTCCAAAAGATAGTTTTTTTTTTGTCCCCTCATTAATTGTTAATATTAATATAAAGTATTAAATGCAAAAAATACATATTCATCATTAATTTCTAAGATTTTCTTTGTATTCTAAAGCAATATTTTAAAATGTAGTGGAATATATAGCTAATAGATTTTATGTTGAATGTTATTTTGTATTTTTGTGAAATGTAGAATGCTGGATTAATTCAAGATTTCAATATTTCGATATTAAATCACTTGTCATTTGGTCTTGAAAATGTTCCACTTACTGGTAAAATGGATAGTGATGATGAGAAAACATTGAATACAATTGAAAAAGCTATCATTGCTGCTAAAAACACTTTACAAATGGCCACTGGATTTTGCTCTGATGCTTCTATTCCTAAGGTAAACTTTTATTTTTTATTTTCACTTAAATATAAATGAAATATATAATTGGAGAAAGCATTGCAATCGTGAATGAATTTTGAATCTGAGGTTTCGGCGGATGTAAACATTTTAAGATCCCGTGGATCGAAATAACCAACTGTAAATAGCCTAGCTCAAAAACGAAGTTTTACAAAACTGAAATTACATATTTAAGGTAAGTATGTGTCTGGGATGCTTGAGCAACCTTGTTCCTATTATTAAATATAAAGCTGATACTATATGTCATTAATATTACACTACTTTACAATTTTTTCAAAATGGCTCTTTACAGTTTGTTATACTAATGTATAGTTTAATAGTCTTTAATATCAGTCAGGTCTTATCTTATAATTTTGTATTTGTCATTGGATCAATTTTTAATTAATTGAAATGTTCATACTTCATTATTGGTTTAAAAGCATTTCAAAATAAATTCTTTTTAAGTTTCCATTTAGAGCTATTGGGTATTTGCATAAATTTTCAGTTTTTATTTTTTGTTGACAATTAAGTTACAACAATAAAAACACAAAAATTGCCTAATTTTTCTAATGCCCATTTGCAAAGATAATTAATGTTCAAGAAAAGTGGTGGGGATAGAGCTACATTATGAGAGTGGAGACAATGCTATGTCATGACATACCAATGACAAGCCCATGGCATTGGATATCTCATACTTTTTATGTTAGAATAGTGTTTTCAGGTTCAATACCTCTATCAAAGAAATATTTTCTGGTTTTCCCCACATTGTCTTCTCTGAATAAGAATAGTTAGTTAAATGCATGTTAATAAATTAGAGCTCATACATTTTGACAGTTTCGTGTTTGGTAGCCATATGCGTCACTACAGTAGACATAGGCTACACCCCCATTCCCATTCCCCACCACATCTCATAGACGCTCTGTTATTTCAAGTTATTGGGAAGTATAAACTTTTTTTACTATCTAAACATTGTATTCTCAATCTTATTTATGTTTCTCATCACTTGAATTATATTTCAGCTCAAATTTAATGCAATTTTTTTTCCTCCTTGCAAGTACCCAATTAAAAACCAAACTAAATTTATTTTTTGCTCCAAAACAATTAAATTTATTGAAATTATTATTTCATATATTTTTCATTACTACTTCTATTATTATTTCATTTTAGGCTCGAGAAGAACTGGATGTAATTGAACAACAAATTGTCGAGGAGAGAAATAAATTCTCTTTAATTATTGAAAAACTAAAAACAGTCATTATTGAGAAAGAGGAGGTAAAACATTTTTTATGAAAAGTATTTATTTTTTTCTGTTAAGCTATATCATCAGAGTTTACCTAACTGTGATTAAGGAAATAAATTCATAAAAAATATTTTTTTTATTTTTACTAAATAAAAAAAATATTATTATGATTGAGATTTTGAAATACATAACCTTTATATTTCAACAGTCACTTTATTTTTAATGTTTCGGATTCAACATTTATCCATTTCCAAATTCATAATTCTGATTATACAAAGATTGAATACTAACAACAGGCAGGCCCATCGCGTGAGCAGGCGCTGCAACTAAGGGGGCACCACGGTTTGGAGACAAACATTAAAGCCAATCAATAAAGAACCTGATTTATGTTTACCATAATACTCCTTTTAGGTTATTATTAAAACTTCAAAATATTTGAAATGAAGGACGAGTTAACGCAGAATTTAGACAGCTTCACAACACTGAATCGTGTGATTTGTACCCGATGAATATAATTAAGATAGTAGATTTGTGACTATTTAATCCACCAATCCCTAACAGGTTGATGTGCAAAAGGCTTACTGATAAGTGTCCAAGGAATAGACAGAATCAAAGGTGAGAGGATTGTGATAAAGCTGATCTTACGGAGTTAGATTTTGACAGAGACCGGTGGATGGGAGTATGTTGACTGTGATTAGTGTTATCAGCATTGAACCTTTGAGTTCGCTAATTTTTTTTTATTATATTCATCACTCTTTCTTTATTTAAACATAGGATAATTGACTATTAGCAGATTTGGGAGGGTGTCAAATGGCAGTTACGATGAAGATGTTAAACAGGGGAATAAATTTCCCAAAACAAATTGAAATAAACAATTAAAAAGTAAGTTTGTTTTTTCATATTTACTCAATAGAAATTATGTGGAAGCTGTGTATTGGCCTACTTGTCATTTTTTAAATTTCTTTTTGTTTAAAATCTAGCTCAAAATTTGGTACATCTTCAAGTGCGCCAATAAATTTTCATTTGTGTTCTATGCAGGGATTGGGATAATTTCTTTCACCTTCCGAATTATTTTACCTTTTTAGATTTTCTCAATGTTAAGGTAGACTATCGGATTATCAGAATTATATTACCATAGATAAAGGCCGATTAGTTATTTCTATTAATTATACCCTGATTATTAATTTCCAAGCAATTCAGTTTATAATTACATTCACAGTAATCTAGGGTATAGATTTCGTTTACCAGGGCTCAAATATGAATTTATTTTACTGCATTCAATCACAAATACACCTTTTGATTTACTAATAATATTGCTTTATCCAGTTATTTGTTGTAATTAAATGTTAAGAAAGAACTTTCTCACCAAGATGTTATGATTATAAATTTATAATAATGGAACTTAATATTGTAGAATATAATAAAATTAAATTAAATTTTTATGTGAATGGGTGATCTTAAAATCAACATTATTCTCATAAAAAGTGCCTCGGATAAAATTATAAGAGATTTATTTCTAGCTTGATGAATATTAGGGTCCACAGAGGGGCTAATATCGACTCAGACCATCACCTCTTGATACCATGATTAAAGGCCAGAATTTCCATAGCTCGTAGGAAATTTATCACATAATCGAAATATATCACCGGTAAAGTATGCAATTCAAAACCTTAAAGATCCTGAAATTAGAGAGCAATTTACCCATAACATGGATGAAAGGATGCGACATAATTATCATACTAAGGACATCAACGAGGCTTAGGTTACATACAAAGAAACTGTGGTTGGGATAACAAAGGAAATACTTAGACTCAAAGAAAGGAGACCTTAAATAAACCTTAGTATGATCAAGAATGGGTTTAGGAAAGGAAAATCTAAAACGGACCAACTATTTTTCCACAGGATTTTATTGGGAAAGGGACATGAGTTCATATAACAACTCACCATTTGTTCGTAGATTTCAAAGTGGCCTATTGATAGTGTCGATCATAAGTGTCTCTACAAACGACTGAGACAGCTGATCTGCATGACCTGATAAAACTGATCAGGATGACAGACCTTAAATGCGTTGTTTAATTTCAGTAAATTTCTGAATTTACGTACGTTGTCTCACAAGTCACATGCGTTAATGCCATCGAAGCAGAGATCAAAAAAAAGATATTAGCTAGTTAAAAAAGAATAGATGTTGCTTTGGATTGAGGTAATATCTATCAAGCAGGTTAATGATCAGAAAAAACAAAAATTTCTTTGTACAAAACTCTGATTCACCCAGTCATTACATATGGGGCGGAGACATGGACTACGGCAAAAGATACGTATCAGAAGTTGGTCACATTTCAGCGAAGGATCCTCCAAAAAATATTTTGACCGGTGTTAGTTGGTGAAGAGTGGAGAAAATTACAAATTGTTAGTCTTATCAAAGGATATCGTCTAAGATATGCTGAACATGTGGCCATGATGGAGGAACAGGAAACTCTTATAAGATTACTGACGGAGATAGTTCATGGCCAGTGGAGAGTTGCCCACCCTGACTTCGATGGATGATGATGGATAATATTGACATAATGGGGAGAACTTTTGAAGCTATGAAGGATCCATTTCTGGAGCTCCAAAGTGTAGCTGAAAGAATGGGACTTGTTATTAATGAGGCAAAAACAAAATATATGACTACAGCCCCCTTCGGAGGAGAACCATACATTCATATTTATTGGAACGTATTCCTTTAAGAGAGCGGAGGAATTCATTCATCTAGACTCGCAGATCAACTCCCAAAATGATATTGCACATGAGATTGAGTGTCGGATTGTCTCTGGAAACAGGTGTTACCATGGATTGATTTGGCATTTCAAGAACAGAATATTATCCAGAGCCACTAAGATCCGCCTGTATAAGACATTGGTAAGGCCAGTACTTACTTATGCCAGGCTATCACCAAGAATCAAGAACAGGCTCTACTAAAATTCGAGAGGCGGATCCTGAGGAGAAATTTGGAGGCAAGAAGCATGGGTGGAGTATGGAGACAACGGACTAATTCCGAATTAGTAGAGTGGTATGGGAATGCTGATGTGGTTACCTTTATTAAAGTAAGGCGCTTCAGATGGGCTTGGCATGTCATTAGATGCCTATGGGTGAGGTCCCAAAAATCATTCTAATATAAAAATATATGGCAAAAAAAGAAGAGGAAGACCAAGGTTGCGGTGGATGGATGGCCGATCCATGCTTGGGTTCCAAAACTGGAAGGCGGCTGCACAACATCGGGATGACGGGGGTCAAAGCTGTGAGACCTTGTCTCACACATTAACAGAGAACTAAGAAATAAATAATAATGGCAACAAAGTAGGGGTAAATAATAACAACAAACAATTATAAAAAATAACTTTATAATCAAAATAAAGTAACATAAGAAATAAAAAATGAATTAACAACTAAAAGTACTGAAATGCATACCATAATAAAGGTAAGTATAGACAAAAAAAAAAAAAAATGTGTGACATAGTTGCTAAAATATGATGTCATAGTATGCTAAAAGGAAGTGAGATAATCATAGAATAAAATGTAAAACAGAGAAAAGAAATATGAAGTTATATAAAGAAATAATAGATATAAATAGAAAAGTGAGATATTGTAAAATCTATCAAAACATACTGACAACGTATAAGAGAATAAAAAGTTAAAATAATGTAAAAAAGATAAATGAGCAAATGTATCATTTTACACAAAATCTACTTTGTTGCCGTTATTTTTTATTTCTTAGCTCTCTGTTACTGTTATTATTCTATCTACTTTATTGTTCACTCTATCTACTTTATTTTACTTTAAGTTAATTATTCCTAAATTTTTTAGTCTATACCTTTCACCTTTTTAATTTGAATTCTTTATTATTCAATGTTTGTAGTTTCTCGTACCTATTGTTATCTGTTGAACCGTTGTGATCAACCAAAAAATTCAAAAACTTAATCCGCTCTCAAAATTGAGGTTTAACGTAGAATTCGAAAAAAGAATAAACATATTTTTGTTTTGACTGTCCGCCATCCGCACATTTTCTCCGAAACTACTGGACTGATTTTTTTCAAATTTGGATTTAAAATTAGAGGTCACCCGAGGAAGATCCTCCTTCATCGACATTTCTATCCGCCTTTTCCTTTCAAGATAGCGACCGAAAAACCTGCATTGCTATAGACTTTAACGTCTAAACGAATGTACCAATTTCAATGAAATTTTGCTAAAGTCTTCTTCTCAATGCCCTTTAAATTTATTTATAGCATTTCCAAGTCAATTTCAACCTTTTCCAAATCAAATTCAACCTTTTCCAAGTCAAATTAAACCTTTTCCATTTCAAATTCAACTTTCGAATTTTTGTCAATTTTCGATTTTTTTCGAAATGAAGGCCTTTTGAAAAATACATAAACAAAATTTTGATAACGCGGTTGCATATCCATTTATTTTAACATTTTAGATTTTTTCAGTGTAATATTTCTATGTCATATTCAATTATTTCCAAGTCAAATTCAACCTTTTCCAAGTCAAATTCAACCTTTTCCAGATCAAATTAAAATTTTTCCAAGTCAAATTCAACCGTTTCCATTTCAAATTAAACCTTTTCCAATTCAAATTCAACCGTTTTCATTTCAAATAATTTTTTGTAAATTTTATAATTTTTCTTAAATAATGGCCATCCCCTCCCCTCCTCCAATATGAAAGTCTATTGTGCTCTCCTAAGTAGAATTTTCACTTACGGATATCGATTTATTGTACCTATTCGGATTTATTAAGGACTAGTATTATGCTGTCCTGTACCTAGTTTTTAAAATAACTTCCATTTTAAGATTGCGCCACTGCTTTTTGACTTATTTAAGTTTTTTTGATTTATTCGATACAAGGGTGTATTCTTATGTCTTCCGATCCATAAATTATGAAAATAAGCCCCAATTTATGATCAGGCCACAGCGTTTTGACTTATTTAAGTTTTTAGAATTTATCCAATATAAAGGTCTACTTTTATTTTTCCAGAGCCGTAGATTTTGAAAACGACCTCCATTTTAAGATTAGGCCACCGTGTTTCGATTTCTTGAAGTGTTTCGAATTTTTATCATAAAAGAGTGTATTCTTATGTTTCCGGAGTAGTATATTTTGAAAACGACCTCCATTTTAAGATTAGGCCACTGCGTTTCGACTTATTTAAGTTTTTAGAATTTATCCAATATAAAGGTCTACTTTTATGATGATGGTCTTTTTTCATATGAGGGTGTATTCTTATGTTTCCGGAGTAGTAGATTTTGAAAACGACCTCCTTTTTAAGATTAGGCCACCGCATCTCGATTTCTTTGGGTGTCTCGAATTTATCCAATTTAAAGGTCTACTTTTATGTTTCCAGCGCCATAGAGTTTCAAAATTACATCCATTTTATGTTTACGCCACTGTGTTTTAACTTATTTAAGTTTTTAGAATTTATCCAATATAAAGGTCTACTTTTATGAGCCTTAGTTTTTAAAACGACTTACATTTTAAGATTAGGCCACCGCGTCTCGATTTCTTTGAGTGTCTCGAATTTATCCAATTTAAAGGTCTACTTTTATGTTTCCAGCGCCGTAGAGTTTGAAAATTACATCCATTTTATGTTTACGCCACTGTGTTTTCGGTTTTTTTAAGTGTTTTTGATTTTTCCTTTGAATAAAAAACAAAATACGAAGGATTAATTTATTTTTCAATAAATAAATAAAAATATCTAATCGAAATAAATAAAATATGTACTGTCTCATTTTTAATTTAATTTTAGTTATATTTTTTAATGTTGTGGTCTCGTGGTCTCCTGTAACAAAGTTATAAGATTTCGAACAATTAGCTGAAAAATTATGAATACGGTAGGTTAAATTTATTACCAGTTGCTTTTCGGCTTTTTAGTTTGTATTCTGTCGTTAATTTAACTTTAGCTTCATAATATTTATTTATTCATACTCGAAAACATATTTATGAAACTTTGTATTAAAAAAATCCAAAATGAAGACTAATTAATCGAGATGCAGCAGCATAATCATAAAATGGAGATTAAATTTAAATATTAAAGATTAGAAAAATTTCAATACCTCTCTGATAACATATAAGTAGATCTTTATACCGAAAAAGTAAAAAAACAAAACATTTATAATCCAAAACACAATGGCATAAACTTTAAATAGGGTCATTTAAAAAATGGGAGAAATCTACTGCTCCAGAAACATAAAATTAGACCTTTATATTTGATAAGTTCGAAAAACATGAATAAGTTGAAACGCAGTGGCCTAATCATAAAGTAGAGGTCATTTTCAAAATCTACGGCTCCGGAAACATAAAAGTAGACCTTTATATTGGATAAATTCTAAAAACTTAAATAAGTTAAAACACAGTGGCGTAAACATAAAATGGATGTAATTTTGAAACTCTATGGCGCTGGAAACATAAAAGTAGACCTTTAAATTGGATAAATTCGAGACACCCAAAGAAATCGAGATGCGGTGGCCTAATCTTAAAATGGAGGTCGTTTTCAAAATCTACTACTCCGGAAACATAAGAATACACTCTTTTATGATAAAAATTCGAAACACTTAAAGAAATCGAAACGCGGTGGTCTAATCTTAAAATGGAGGTCGTTTTCAAAATCTACGGCTCCGGAAACATAAAAGTAGACCTTTATATTGGATAAATTCTAAAAAATTTAATAAGTCAAAACACAGTGGCGTAAACTTATAATGGATGTCATTTTCAAAATTTACGGATCGGGAAACATAAAAATACACCCTTATATTGAATAAATCAAAAAACTTTAATAATTTGAAACGCAGTCACGTAATCTTAAAATAGAGGTTATTTTCAAAAACTACTCATACGATAACAGACCCACACATCGAAGAATTAAAGATAATTAAATAAAAATGATAAAAAAAGGTTGAATTTGAAATGGAAAAGGTTGAATTTGACTTGGAAAAAGTTTAATTTCATTTACAATATTCGTCAATTATTAGTCAAAGTGATGCCTGCATCTTATTTTTTTTGGATATTTTCTGTTATTATTAATTACTGTAAACAGAGCAGGCCGAGACTCACAAACTGGATTTTTGAACAATTCAATGCAGGTGTGAATTGATTAAAGGCAAAACCCTTTTAAAATATTTAACTATCCTTGAAACTAACATTTGTGCATAATTTCCATATTGAAAAGTATGAAATGTAATCAAAAATAATACTGTGTGACTGGAATTAATTGTAAATGGGATTTGAAAAAGTTAAGTTTCTTCTAAGTTTTATGTCCTTTGTGGCAGACTAAACAGAATATACAATGATGAATATTACATTGCTTTTGTAGAACTACATCTTTAATCATTTTTATAATGTATCATATTTTGTTCTGTTAAGGTGACTAAAAGATTGAAAAATGAAGAGGAATCTATTAATAAGAACATTCTTGAATTAGGAAGTGACACAATGGAAGAAACATTAATAGAAGAGAGAAAAATTAGGTGAAACTTAGTTAAATTATTTAACTGAATATAAGCTATCGGGACTCTGACTTCTTTTGATCTTGGTGTGTTCACTCACCACCCAACTTTCCTCATCCCTTTGAGCAGGGTCAAAACTAGTATTTTTCTAGTGGGGCAAGTTTTGTTTTGGTACTCCTTCATTCACTCTCCTGCCCCCAATAAAAGTCAACAGTTCAATAACTGTATTTTAGGTGATATATTTCAAACATATCATAACATAAAACCTGAGTGAATGAAAGAAAATAGTGTTCAACAGTGCCAAGCAATATTTTATTTCTTTTCGGGGATTATTCCATACAAATATAGTTGGCAACAATATTGAACAGTGATAATAAAAAGTTAATATAAAATTTTTTTACAATTTATATGAAATAATTCATTGTTACATCCCATCTTTATTGCTAGGATGCATAGTTCCCCTCATATAAGCCAGAAAACTGAAAATAGAATAGTAAAATTGTACATACTTGTAAAATTTATTTATTCCATCTCAATGGAATTTTTAGTGAATTGCAACAATTTAATCAAAGTGTTAAAAGTCTATGAATATAAATGAATTAATGATATTAATTATTAAATTTTTCTCATGTTTTTTTTTATTTGTTAGAAAAAAGTTCATCTAATTTAATTTACTTATTTATATTTAACCTTTATGGATGCTCCAATTTGAGAAATTATTTTATACGTTTACAGAGCAAAGAAGATGAGAGAACAGTTAGACATGTTTCGGCAAAATTCTGTCTATTATCTGCAGAAATGTGAACAATATTTCAGTGAACATGAGAAAAAAATGAAGGTAATTTAAGTAAATTATGTTTTAGTTAAGACATTTGTGCCAATGTTATTTATTTCCGAGATTATTTTTAATTTGATTTAATAAATTTTCTAGTTATAATTTATCCTGTTTTGATGTTTTAAATTACATCAGTAATCAGTTGAACAAACAATTAAAAATATTACTTATATTTAATTCCAGGGATTGAAACTTTTTAGGAAAAATGTTCCATTTTAACAGGTTCTGTGAAATGCTTTTGGAATAAAAGTTCTAAGGAAGTTGTTCGGGCTCCTTGAAGAAGCCCTCCATTTTTTGTTTGATGTTGTGTAATGATATGATAAAATTGTAGTTATGATTATTTTCCATTTCCTTGGATAGGATGAATTTTTATTTAAAATTTGAATATCCAATACACCTAACTTTTTTTTTTTTTTAATTCTCATGATTGCAATGTAATTGTAATGGTGGAATTATGTAAACTTTAGGTCCTAAATTGTATTTTTCATTATGTTATGTGACTGAAATAATATTTATCTTTATTTGTTTAATTTTTTTTTAGGCCTTGACTGAACGATATAAGCTACTGGAAAAAGAATACAAGAAATAACTTCCCATTATAATTGAATTTTTTTATATGTATAAAATAAGATTTTATCTACTTTACGCTTATTTAATTGTTATTTCAAATAAACAAATTTATTCTACAAATGAGTGGGTATGGGTTAAGAAACATTTGTTTGCTCCTGCACTCCTATCTTAAGAGACATAATTCAACAGAGAAGTAATTTTAATATTTATTTCATTGATCATTAATATTTATTTACTTATTGGTTATATGTATGAAATAATTCCACTTCATTATCAATGCAATGAAAGGTTCTTTCAGGCAGTTTTGATTAATAACAACAAAAAATAAATGTAATAATTTGTTTGATCTTGTATTTAATAAATACATATGTAACTGACATTTTTTAACAATCTATGTGATTAACACTTGTTGTCATATAAATATAACCTTGACACTGGATAAACCCAGATTTTGTCTGCTGCTTCGGTTTTTTATGGATGTTTTTTAAAATATATAGTTGTTGAAAGAAATGGTGTGTGAAGAAAAGACATATAAATTTAATTCAATAGACGGATGGGAAAAACATACGGTAATCAATTGTTATTATAAATACAAGTTGTCTTGTCTAGTTTTACTATAACTTCCTTTTATATATATATATATATATATATATATATATATATATATATATATATATATATATGGAAAGATCTACTTCTTCTCAAAGTAGGGTGGTAAATTATGTGATGCGTGCATTGCATTTCTAGTTAAAACTGACCCGAAAGAAAAATCTCAGGAAAACTATCCATCCCATCGACAAAGACGTTATATACAAAATGAAAGCGTATAAAGTTTGCAATATGATTGATAATATAATTATTTTTGCTAGCTCTGATTTACAAGTTGATAAATTGTAGAGACATATTATATAATTTGAACATAAGCAGGAGTAACTCACTTCGACCATGTAATGGGGTTAACTGTTATACAGATGGATCTTTAATGGAGCAGGGATCAGGGGCTGGTATTTGGAGAAAGGATAAGCCTAATGAGGGAATATTTATATCTCTAGTTAAATACACGTCCGTCTTTCAAGCTGAGGTCTTAGCCATCGATTTATGTGCCCAATCACTTATTTAGGAGGGTATTGGGAATAGATTTATTACAACATATATGGATAGTCAGGCAGCAATTGGGGCCCTAAATTAAGTTATGCAAGTCGCTCAAAGTTGGTGGATGAATGCAAACGCAATCTTGATCTTTGCAGTACAAACAAGGTGAGAGTGGAATGGGTACCTGGGCACTCGGAGGTTCCAGGAAATGAGAAGGCTGATTACCTTGCTAGGAAAGGCTCTGCACAGTTAGCGATTGCAGCAGAGCCTATTAGTAAATTACAAAATAATACCTGTTAATGATGATAAATGTATTTGTTTCTTAATATAATTTCTTAAACATTTACAGGGTGATTAAACATTTATTCCGAACATAAGAAGGAAGGCCCTAATCTAATAAATAGTTATTGATATCAATCTATAAGGAAATTGATTCTTTCCCTTGAAATTTATCACTTAGGGCCAGTTGTATAATTGGAGTTCAAGCTTGAAGTATTAGATGTGATTAATGATCATTGCACTTTTGTTTTATGTTTTTAGAATGTTTTATTAATTTGTTTCATATGGTTAATGGTCTCTTCATTAAGAATTCACTGACCTAAAACTAGACCCAGGACTAGTTCTCAGGTCCATTAGATCTGACTTGACAAGGAGAAACTTCAAGTTGTTTTAAGTATTAACATTAAGATTAGCTCAGTGAAACTATCGAAATAGCCAGTAGGAACTTTAAGTTGTGAAAAAGTAAATATTGGGAGTTGGTGGAAATTCCTAGTTGCATAATATGTAAAAATTAGAAATGTTACAGAAAATTCAAACATTTGCAAAGTTACACATTATAAAGTGAGTACCTGACCCTTCATATTCATAACTTAAGGGATCAACATAACATGTCTCCTCAAATAGAATACAAAATTCTTCAACAAATTGTTAACACACTATGACTTATTTTAAATCACATCATACATAAAGATATGGACCTATAAACAGACTTTGGAGGAAAAGTGTGGTATCAGAAATCACATCAAGAGTACTATTGATTATTATAGATGACTGTTTCAAGCAGCTCTACTGGCAGTAAATAAACTTTGGTAATTTATCTGACATTTGAGAAAATTGGAAAAATATATTCGTATTTTGAGATATGTAATGGTGTTTAGCACAGAATTCTGTAATGAAAAAATATATAAATGTATATTTTGAATAAGGAAATATGTTCAATAAAAATCAAAATGTAAGCAAACAGCATTTTCTTATAATGACTAGATAAGTAACAGTCTACAAAATTTTTAGAAGTCAGATTCTTATACTTTAATTAACATGAACAGTAGAAAATATAACTTAAATCAGCTTGGATAGAAATAAACATATCACAATATTGCACTTCACATACCTACCTAATAAATATATATTAATAATAATTTTCAAACAAAAACAATTGACTAGTGTATATAAAACTAATATTTCTTTAACTTATAATACTGCTTAGTTTTGTACATCATATATATTAATATTAGAACTTATCAAGAAAAAGCTGTCATAAGAAAAGACATTACAAGTCCTAAGATTAATAGTGCATTACTAATAAATCTGAAAAGACAATATAAATATTAAAACTACTTATATACTTAAATCTTATACTAGAACAGTAATGAGCAAAGCTACAGGAACTATAATATATCTGACTGGTGAGATTCTCCTCTGGCCCTGCCCTGGTTTGTTTTCCATTTTATTTTGTGCTCTTTTTCCTGCTTTCTTTAAGAAACAAATCATAAAACAAAGGGAGAGCTCAGAAGATAATCTCAACGAAGCAGAGATAACTTTTTAAAGAACTGTTATTTAATAAAATACTAATACATGAAATATGTAAATTTATATTAACCTTCACACTACAAGATAGCGTATTCAAACACCCTAGGGGAGCATCTAGGACGTTTATTGCACAATGTATCAGAAGTGGGGAAATCTTACAGAGATGGGGATTTTAATAGCCTCATTTCAAGTCGTCTACTTGATGTTTCCGAAGCACATTAAGTTTGAAGGTCAGTAACATGTTTTTTTTTATTAGTTTGTGAAAATAAAGAACTCTGGGGTATTTTCACTCCCCACCTTATATATGTGTATTAATACTATAGCTTATAGTATTAAATTTTTAGTAATTTTTTCTTATGATTTTCAAGCGTTATAAACAATGTCGAATCAACAAGTTTTATAATTTTACAAATATTTTTAAAATGAAACCTAATTAAAAGTCTGTAATGAAACATGAATTTGAAAACATCTAGCCGTTCAATCACGTTATACTTTTCATTCGTTTTTAATGTATTTTTAATTTAAACTGAGTAATATAATTCACATTCTAAGCAAGTTCATAATCATTTAAACTAATTAAATTAAATTTGAATTTGATTGGAAAAATTATGAAATTGGTTGAAAAAATTGTCAATTTCACTGAAAAAAGCTATAGTTTTTCATTTATTAATCTCCATGTAATTATATGCATTAAAAATTGCTGAAGAGTCTTATTAAGTTCTTAAAAAGATTAAATCATAATTTTTGCTTAAATTGTATATTAAGATATGCAATTTCATGCAGAAAAGTTTGCAAGAATTGAATGAAAAAGAGCTTCAACATATTTTAGAATGTTAGAAGGTATTATGGTAGCTATAACGTACTATTTCTTGTTCATAATATGAAAAAAATGTCTGGTGTTCAAACATCCCACATCTTATGGTGTGAAGGTTAACCTTTAGGGTAATGAAAAAGGCTGTTTCATTTGCCTTAAACAGAATACATTTAAGAACTTGCCAATTTTTAAATATTTCTCATTTTTATCACGTTATATTATTTGGACAAAGTAAAGATATGAGAATTTTTATCATGATAGATACAGCATTAACTATTTTTTTAGTAATGATGTAAACCAAACTGTTCTTTTATTTAAACTGCGGAAAGAAAGAGAAAATTATACTCATTTTCAGATAACTTCCTACAAGTAGTAGGTCAAAATAATTAAATAAAAAATGTTTGCTCTCCACTGTACTAAAATTAATTTAAGTAACAAACATTTTCACTTTGAACTAGTTTCTAATAAGGACATTGACTATACTAAAAGTTATTAATCAGTAAAAAATTACTGTATGGCCTAACAACTTTATACTGTAAGTTGAATATATTTATATATATTATTATTTAATAAAAGAATGCATGTCAAGTCTACTAATTTACCTATTTAAAGGAAAGACAGTATTTATCATTATGTTAACATCCCATTCCCCTCCTTACTATCACCATATATTTTTTAAAAATGGGAAATGAATAGAAAGAATGCAGGTAAGTTTAACCAAAAGAGAACTTAAATTTCAAGCATTATGCTTTTTGAACTAAAATTTAAACTATTTCAAATAAATTTGTTGTAAGGCTAATACAATAAAAGAAATATATTTAAAATTGCTAGATTTGGGGTGAGAGTCATCAACATTTTTGTGAGAATGAGCTTGTTTGCTGTCTATCTGTGCCTGAACCAAATCCACACCTAAATGTTAACGAAACTGTGAAGCAGAAGCAGTTATTAAGTAATAACACATGAAATTTTTACAATTTTTGAAATATTTTATCCGAAATTCTAAAACATAAAAAATACATTGTATAATTAATAATTTTACGACTTTGTCAATTCTGAAACACATATTTGGTTTAGAAGTTTGGCATAATAAAAAAAGGCAGGTTATCATTTTTACCTCCTACCCAGTAAAATAGAAGATCTTCAAAACTATATATCAAGCAATGATTACTTTTTCTTTTTAATATTTTAACAAATCAGGCTTGAATATTTAAAATAGTTAATTTAGCATATTAGTATTCTATATCTATATACCATTAGATGTATTGTTAAGCAAACAACAAGATAAAGTCATGCAAGAAGCAACAGAAATAAGTGGGCACGAGAGATGATGAAATTTGAAGGTACAAAACCAATGATTGGTTATAAAATTTTTTTCAACTTCATAAAATCAATAAATGCTAGTAGTTTGGGATATTTTAATTTGTATCAAAGACGATAGATTTAATGAATCTGTTATAATCTTTGAATAAAACAGACTAAAAATACAAGGATGGACAGATTACTTTATCTTGAATCATTAAAAATCAGGATTATTTCATGTCAATTCAAGACGACCATTTTAAACATCATCCCATCTTTCCATGAAATTTAGTGTACTGCTGGTGTAGACTTGAAAAATATTAAATTTTACTGATATAAGTCAACTCGTTTTTTAATTAAAGAGCTGTTGTAAACTTCTCATAAATGGGCCAAAAAAAAAAGAAACAAATTTTGGAATTTCTGTAGAAGCTTTCCTAATTTTTAGCTAAAGTTATGGGATTAGTATCATTTTACATCAATGGCCGTTCTATTTCCTGTGGTATATAAGAAAATGTATGTTAAATCAAAAGAAAATTTATTAAAATACAAATTAAAAATTTAATTATAATGCTATCCAAATAAATAATTAGAAAGGACATATTTTAAATGTATTCCTTGAATAATTATTATTGTTGTAAATCAAGGGATAAAATATAAATGTGAAATGATAATGGTTTCATTGTTAAAAAAAAAGTTCCATTTTCATTAATTCAATTCAATATTAATGTGAATAAAGAATCACGAAATAAGTTCAATGAAAAGGAGCTTCAGCTTTTCTTTGAAACTATTATAATGATAGTATAAGACAAAGCTCCTTTTCATTGAACTTATTTCGTGAAACTTTATCCGCATCTATTTTCACGTTCATTCAACATACTGATTACAGTTAGGATAACATACTGGAGAGAGAGAGAACAAATAACAGCACTACTGGTAAAAGAATCAGAATTATCCAATTTGTAAGGTATTAATATACCTTTACTCATAATTTGCCTAAGCAAAATCCATCACTGTCAGTTTATGTCCAGTTTATGCAGTAGGCAATCATACAAATTAATTTTACTTAAATAATATAATGCTGTAAAGCTTGTTATGTCACATAAAATTGTAAAAATTTAAACAGTAAACTTTTTGATGTTAGGTTAAAATCACAGCATAAAAACTTATTTTTTAAAAAGAATAATTCAAATACTCTTCTGGTGTTATTAAATCCCATTTTAATAGTTAAAAGAGGATTAGATACCATTATAAACAAATAAAAAGGAGAAGGGGATATGAGAGGAGCTACTTTTCAACAACCTGTAACACTTAAATTTTTTGAAAAATTTTGTTAAAAAATAATTAATATTATTGTGTTCATGTTAAAAACTGTCTAACTTTCATACTTAAGAACAATTTTTAAGTTAATAGAGGCTTCGAAATAACATTTTATATAGCATTTAAGTCGACTTAATAATTACTGTTTTATTAGTATTTGTAAGTCTTCTACACTAACTACACGTGGGTGGAACGAAGTCGGACAGTTGATACAGAGGGTTCAGAAGTTGAAAATATTTCGCATTCGTTACATTGAGATGCTTCACAAAACAGCTGACATTGAGAACACTGCTCTGCAAGACATCTGCCAGAAGCACAACTTACTTCACAGGAACTGCACTGAAGTACAGCTGTAGGTGCAGTACTACGACAGAGTGGTGGGCTACACACTCGTAGATAGGAGTGGGGTGGACAGGCGTATGATCTCACTGCTCTGGATTGGCCTCTGCTAAGAGGAAGCTCCTCCGCCCAAGTCTACTTTCTCTTTTTCATAAACCGAGTCATACATTGGGTATTCAAAACACAGTAAAAACTTCAATGCCTTGGGTACTTCCACGTATATTCCAGGTGGTATTGGTATTAGTGGAGATGTGCTGGATTTATAGAATCTATATTCATGATTACTAAAAAAAAAAACAAAATTAAAACATATCCTAAGTTTCTTATAACTTATAGAAAAAAAAAGAAGAATAATGTCATACTATAACTGAAAAATTCACACATGATTTAGATTATTATAAATATAGTTGGATTAATGAAGCAAAGGAAACCTAGCTTTTAGAATTACTTACTTCCGATACTTTAAATCAGCATTACGTTCCACAAGTGGTATTCCAGAGACAAACAAAATAATAAGAGTAGTGAACAGGGGACTTGCAATGGCAATCCATTCAACTTCTTCAATAACATTTAAGGATATTACAAATATTCCCCACCAAAGCAGAATTTCACCAAAATAATTAGGATGACGAGAAAGTCTCCAAAGACCTGCAAATTATGTAACTAAATGAGTAAAAAAGTAAACAAAATATTTTAAAAAGTCAACATTTATAAACAATAGATCAGGAATAGTTTTCAGTACTGATTTAAGAAAAAATCCTTTCAATGTATCTCCTTAACAGCTTTTGGTGTCAATATAAAGTGAATTAAGTATAATATTTCAACTAAGTGTGTAGTAATAAAAAAAAACTCGGAAGTTTCATAACTCTTAATTGTTTTTCTTCACAAAATTACCTTTATCCCCTTAAATATTCAACTTAACAATAATTATCCTCACTATGCACGATTTTCTTTGAGCAAAACAAATGATTTATAAATCCATTATTACAGTTTTCATCACCTTTCTTTTTGGCTGAGTTAACTGTGAGAAATAAGAAAAGGAAAAGAAAAAGAGTAGGCAGGAGTGAATAGTAAACATATTGATCTTATAACAGATCAAAAATCTCTTGGGGAGCAGGGTACTATTATGACTTAAAAAATAATATTAATTTTTCCTCAATTCAGACCGATATTATTTTATTAATTTAAGAAGGGTAACCAGAATTTTGGTGTTGTAAAACCTCAATGTATGCTTCTGTTTCTGATAAAGTACATCATGATCATAATCCAAAGTAGATGATGTCTAGCTTAAATCATCTATAATAATTTATTATTCAAAATATATTCTTACCATTCTTTAAACAGAACTAAATGAAAAATAAAACTGACTTGAGATCTCAATATCACATTTACTAATATTACAGTCTGACAACAACAATATAATGAGTAAAACCTATGTAACTTGATAATAATAATAATAATAAGGCTTAGCGAACCCGGAGGTTCGATGCCGACACCACCAATCGCTTGTTACACACCTCCCTCCACCGTTCGCCGTCCAAACCCAGTCCCTTCAGATCAGCTTTAATGCAATGTAACTTGATATACTCACTAAATATTTAATTATAGAATAGTGACTTTTTCTGTAACTTTCTTTAAGGTACTTCCTTACAATCTTATTCCAAAAACAAATGTATGTACAAAGTAAGAATCTTCTTTTATTTATGAATCCCTAAAAAACTTACAAGTCCCTTAATCCCAGCAATGTATTGGGTTCAATTCACATGATTAAACAAAGTTCTAAGGATCTAATTTTATTAATTACTTAACATAATGACAACATGACTTATTCCAGTGAGCCTTAAACACATTCAGCCCTTGTTACAATATTTTAAAAATAATGTTCACTACTTACCATCATTACACCACTTTCCTTTATTAGCAGGATCTTGATGGAAGGAGAATTTTTGAAGATCTGCATAAGTTTCAATAATTAGGCCAGTAATAAACATTCCTGTACCAGTAGAATCCAACGGAGTCATGGTTTTAGGAGCACCTCTGGCTATTGAATTGTGTGGAGCATTTATGAATATTACTGGAAGACTAACGACATATACCCAAACAGCCTGGAATCAAAATAAATAAATTCTCATTTAATGAAAATTAAAAGTAAAAATTAAAATAATGTAAGCAATAGGTATTCAATTGTATTAAAGATGATTTACTTTTTTGAAAGAAGTATTCATAAGAAATAGTTTAATATTGAACATTTGTTACAGCTGACTATGAGGTTAAGTGATTGGATTTAGAATCTCGATATAGGAGACTAACCTTACTTTTGAAATGATTCTGCAACTTGCACCACTTAATGTACTATCAGGTCCGAATATTGTCTTGGGTGCAGTACTATGTGAGGAAGTACTGTCACAAGGCCAACGGTTGTGCAGGGAGGTGATGAGATATCACACTCAACTGCCAGGTTTTTGCCCTTAATTATTTTTTTTAAATTAAGGATACCCACTTTATAGAGGCAGGGTGTGCCCCAGGAGGGTCTCCCGACCCCAGGGTCCACGGCTAATGAAAAATTGTTAGTCATTAGCCGGCTTCGAACATAACAGCTTGAACTCTGGAAGTAAATGCACACCCATCCCACTGAGCTACCCTGCTCCCGCTTAGTTTAGTTTTATAAAACTTTTACTATTTCAAAATGTTTATTCTTAATATAGTCAATCTTTACACTGAAGAGCATAAGAGTCACATGATTTATCATACCAACACATCATCAATGATATGTATTGCGAAGAAAATATATATTAAATGCTCATCGTCCCAAGCAATTGGGAGCAAAATTCCAGATCAATTTATGACTAATAGCTCTTGGAAGAATTTTTACTTTCACTTATCTATATATGTAATGTATAAGGTATTGTGATCGAGAAAATTTTTGAAACTGAGTTTTCAACAGAAATGCACGTTTTGAGGTCCCCTGAGTCTAAATGACCAAGTCCTGCAAAATGGTCTGTGTGTCAGTGTGTGTATGTGGTAAGTCTAGCTCAAAAACAAAAAGTTGTACAAAACTGATATTACGTATTTAATATAGGTGTATGTCTTGGATGTGACAGCAACTTTTTCATTAAAATTGACTAACCGGAAGTGGCACTTTACATCAACGGTTATATACATTATTACAATTTTCTCAAAACAGCTGCAAATATTTTTATTAAACTCTGTGTATCATTGCATAACTTAATAATCATTGTATAGTAAGGCCTTTAATATCATTTAGGTCTTATCCGCATTGATGTCACTTAACAAGGCTTAAATGTTCAACATGTCTTCCTCTAAAGTACCTTTAATGTGGTTTATTTTAAATAATGAACCATCTCTCATTATTAAGAGTTACAAAAAAATGCTAAATATAACTTTTGAAAGAATTTGATAATTAAAAAATGGAGAAAAAAGGGAAAATGTTTATTTAGTCAGAAGGTATACGTATAATATATTGTTGGAAAGCAGAGAATTTTAGAAAAAAACAATATCTAATATAGGAAGCAGTAGAAAGTAATGGAGAGTGATGAAAATTTATAAATAATAATTTGGGAAAACTAATATTATTTAACAGAAAATTAAATGAAATTTACTAACTAAACTTTTTTTAATTTTGAAAAAAGTATTTAAAATCCATCCAATCAAGGCAATGCCATTGTTAAAAAAACTATTTCATAGTACTTATGTAAAAGGAAAAGTGAAATATAAAAATATTTCATGGATGTATATAAAGCATATTTTTATAATCTTAAATACATTTACTGTAGTTTAATAACACTAGATCTGATATTTTATTTAAATAATTAGGCATCAACATCTGTCTAGGTATCAAATCGTCATGTAACCTTTTAAAAAATTAAATTATTGAATAATCTGATGAATTTTCCCTCTGTGAAATCTAAACAGTATCCACTTAAAATTAGTGTAAAAACTTTTGACCTGCCATAGGATGAAGATCTCGTAATTCCTTTGTAGTTAACTTCACAATAGAAAATAACAGTTTAATAACTAATAGGCGTACAATTCATAATCATTTATAGGTTGAATAGAGATATATATCCAGTCTCTATAGGCATCTATATATTGCTCAGAGACTGGAGTTATATGGTTTACAAAACCAGAAGGAGCACCGAGTTTTTTATTGTCTACTGTTGATATAATTAATAGGTTTTTGTTATTTCAATGATGTTAATGATTTGTTAGCTGTAAACTTTAAGCTATACTTCCGTTAAAATTGCACCTCAAACATTTTATAATTGCTCAACATTGCCAGAAAATAATTTCTATTCAAAGTATAAAGGTAAGTGAAAGTTTTGTGTTGTGCGCACCAGATTTTTATCAAGTATTTTTGAAAAGAGTCTGACCTAAATATTTTTGAAATAGATTAAAAACCTTTAACCTATATCTATGTTATTTTATGACAGTTGGATTTTATAAAATATTTGAAACATTCCAATGAAAACAACAATGGATAAAACCAGAGACATGTTACTGATTAAAGAGTTGGTACAGTTCCTAGTTATGTTTGATTTTGTCTTGGTGTACCCAACTTCTTACATAGTAATTATTTCTGCACCAAGTCATTGAAGTTTCGTTTTGAAGGCTGCCAGAAACAGATACTTATTGATTCTCATAAATACCAATGCGTTGAAAAATAGTACTTCATCAGGGTGACGAACACCAGAAAAATGATACCGAAAACTGGTGCATTCAGATATATTTATGTTTTATGGGTTAAGATAAAAGAAAATTATATATATATATATATATATATATATATATATATATATATATATATATATATATATATTTCGACTGAATCAAAAGAATCGTAATTGTTTAACCAAATGCCCACATTTATGTCATGAGAAAAATCCTTTAAAGTTTCCTTAAGGGTGGCGAAAATGGGTAAAATGGAATTCCGACAATAACCAAAGATTGAGAACATGTTCACAATATATCACTTTCTTTGGATCGTGATTTACAACTTTAGCAAACTCCCTACTAGTACTTTTCAATTAAAACTGAGGCCTTAATTACTTTTAATTACATCGCTGTTTTTGACTCCCACTCACTATATTCACTCAACAGGGTAATTTAAATGTTTGTTTGATCGGTGATTTTAATTGTAGAATGTCAAATCAATAAATACTTTCGAAAAAATATTTAGATTTTAAAGCGAATATTGAATGTTTATGTAGGAATTCAAGGGGCTCTTGTTTAAATATAAATGGAAAAAAAGTATTAGAGCTCTGTAACGATTTCAATTTGGCTATATTAAATGGCCGTATGAAAAATGATATAAAAGGAGAATATACATATTTGGGAGCCTCAGGAAACTCTGTTATAGACTATGCTATTTTAAATATGAAGTTGCTATCAGTAGTAAGAAATTTCACTGTTGATTATCAGATTTTTTCGGACCACATGCCGATTATTACCTCTTTAAAAATGAAAAATAAGGTAATTGAACAGTCTACTTTACCACTTCTCCCAAAAATTAATTGGTTGAAACAAAATGAATTAATTTATCAGGCTAGGGTGGATGGTTTAGTTCACCGTTTATCTGTAAATGAGCATTCAGTGGAAAATTTGATAGACATACTCACAAATACAATCAAGAGGTCTGCTAATTATAATCCTTATCCAAGGTCAGTATATAAAAGTAAAAATCCATAGTTTGATAAGGAGTGTTTCCAGGCTAGGAAGATGTCATTTATAAGTTTAAAGTTATTTAGAAAAACTTTGTCCCCTCACAATAAATTCAAATACAGTATTTAAATTCAAATAGTAATTATAAAAGTCTATGTTTATCAAAAAAGAAGCAATATTATATAGATTGTGTCCAGCGTCTGAATATGGTTAATAACAGTAAAGAGTTTTGGGAATTTGTAAAAGTATTTAGAAAAAGTAATTACTGGTCTGTAGGTAATATATCAATACAAGATTGGTTTATGCACTTTAAAACTCTATACAACCCTCCGTTAATTTCAAACAGAATTTTATACGTTGAACCGGATATTAATAATCCTATTTTAGATAGACCCTTCTCTCTTGGTGAGTTTAAAGCTGTTTTGGGTAACTCCAAAAATAACAAGGCACCAGGAAGTAATAGGATCCCTTATGAATTTTACAAGTATGCTCCCGATTCCTTTTTAAACATTTTATTGGCTACATTTAATAGAATTTTTGAAATGGGCTATGTCCCTTTAACATTTAAAAAATCCATTATTTATCCATTATATAAAAAAGGGGATAAAAATTTGGCTTCTAATTACAGGGGAATCTCCTTCATTAATGTAATTGCCAAGTTATATATGGGGTTGATTTTGGCTAGATGTCTGGACTGGATTGATGAAAACAATATAATTAAAGCTCAGGCTGGTTTTAAAAAAAAATATTTAACAATCGATAAAATATTCACATTAACGAGTCTAATTAAATTAAAATTACAAAAAAAAAGGGAAAAAGTTTATGCGTTTTTTGTAGATTTTTCTACAGCATTTGATAGTGTGAATCGTTATAGTCTAATTTATAAATTATATCAGCTAGGATTTTCATCTAAATTAATCAATTCAATTAAAAGTTTGCTTAGCGATACTAATGCTTCAGTTTGGGGTTTGGATGGTTTGACGAAACCATTTAGTATAGAATCGGGTGTAAGACAAGGTTGTTTGCTTAGTCCGATTCTATTTTCATTAAATATAAATGATTTGGAAGAAAATTTAGATGATGGTATTTGTGTAGAGGAAAATTGTAAAATTAAATATCTGGCTTTTGCGGATGATATTGTTCTGCTATCTTCACATCCAGTGACATTACAGAGTAATATAAATTCTCTAGACGAATACTGTAAAAAATGGAATCTGAGAATAAATCTCGAAAAATCTAAAATAATGGTCTTTCGCAATGGCGGTAAGCCATCACATAAAGAAAAATGGTTCATGGGCAACAAAAGTATAGACGTCGTACAACAGTACAAATACTTAGGAATAATTCTCACGCCTACTCTCTCTATGTCCAAACATCTGGCAGAAAAACTGGAGAAAGCCAAGGTGGGTTTGAATTTCATTTGGCACCAGTTTATCGAAAACAAAGACATAGCTCTATCCAAAAAATTAAAAGTATTTAATTCCGTTAGTAGGGCAGTGATGTGCTATGGAGCACAAATCTGGGGCGGGGTAAGTTAAGAAGCCATGGAAAGACTACGAAGATTCTGTCTTAAAAAAATATTTAAATTACCAAAATATACTCCAACACACTTTATTCACTTTGAGACTAAAATAGATCCGTTATTTATCTTTAAAATTAAACTCCATTTTGATTATATTGTAAAAATTTTGAATCTTCCACCACATAGATATCCAAAAATATTAGCACTACAGATAATTAAAAAAGAAATCGCATGGTTTAGGGACTTACTTAATCTGATTGAACTGCATGGATTAAATTTAAACTTAAATCGATCTAACTGTGATGGTATTAAACTATGGAGAGCAAATTTATATTTACTGAGAACTCAAATTCAGAAAGACATATATAATCAATGTGTAATTAATGTTCAGAATTCTAAAACTTTCACTTTTTATTCTCATTTAACTTCAGTAAATTATATTGACGACAAAAGCTCATTAAAGGTGATCAGATGGGTAATTAAAATTAGAGCTGATGTTTTGAACTTAAATTATAAACACTTCCAGCAAACAAATAATAATTGTAGCATGTGCAATACAAACGAAACAGAAGATCTTTATCACTTCCTGGCTGCTTGTCCGATACTCTCTGAATTTAGAATTAAATGGTTAAAGTCTAGAAATTTATCTCGGGATCAAGTAATTGATTTATTAAATGGAAACAAATGGATAGCATTCGTAAATTACTACAAGTCTGCTTTCTCCTATATAATAATGCTCACCAGAGAATTAAACGATTAATAAATTGGAGAATTTTGGTACCACTGTTTTTGTAATTAAAATATTTGTATAACTTTTACACTGTAAATACAATTGTTCTTATTTTCCTATTAAGTATTTGTATATAAATAGACTGAAATATAATTTTGTTATGAAAGACAGACTCCTCTGACGGTCAACAGACCATGTAGCACGTCTGATTTTCGGTTTTAAAACCAAAAATATTATTTTGTATTGTTTTGTAATTTATATTTTGTAATTTTGATAAATAAAAAGACTATTTCTTCTTCTTCTTCACTCAACAGAGATGAGTAAAACCCCAATGGCTTATTGACGTTGGGGGTCTTACCAGAAGATTTAGGCACTTATGTCTACTTTTGAACACATTCCCCCATTCTTGGGATTCTATTTATGGTATTATCATGATATCTTATGCCGAAAGTGGAGTGACATTTGTCAGGTAGTACCTGGAGGTTTTATCCTTAAATAGATTTTAAAAATTAAAAGTGGGTGGTCAAGTGGGTTTATTATGACTTGCATAACAAACAAAACAAATTTTAGCATGAAAATAATAAAAATATGAAGGGACCAAGCATATAAGATCTAAAATTAAGATTAAAATTGAAATAATAAAATTTACACTGACTCCTTCTGTTAATGTTGAAGAAAAATTAGTAGAAGGATCAAAGGATGACAGTTCTTTCATAACATACCTGAAAGGTCCAGAACACTGCAAATCTTATTACATTACTTCTTCTATTTTCAAATCTGGCATCCCTTCCAATCTGCATTATTCTATAAAATAAATAACCAGATAACCGGACTCCCCAAAGACAGACAAAAATAGTGACCATAAACTGACGGTTGTCGTAAGACTACAAAGATAAAAAGCATTGATAAACTAACATTTTACATTTGATACAGAAAGTTAATACAAAATAAAAAGTAAATACTTACAGGTTTTAGTTGAGCTTGGCCCAGAAGAAAAGTTAATACTGCAATGATGAGGAAGTTCAACCCTCCCGCAAAATCAGTCAATTTATCAAATTCAAAATATGAAGCAATTGCAAAGAAAAATAATTGTAAAGAAACAGTAACTATTGCACTTATTCCTAAATGAGTGTCATCCAAAATATTTACAGCCATTTTTAAAATAATTCAAATCAATTAAGAAAATATTTAATATCATCAAATAATTTTTCTTTTCAAAATATATCAGTTGTTAAAACTATCTTGTGAAAAATATATTTTTGGCTCAGAATGTATCATTTTGTAGAAATAAACTTTATTAGTTTGAAATTGTGATACCGACAACAGTTTCACACCTAAACCATCAAACATATCATGATAACATAACTAACCAATCAAATAAACCAAACCTATCATCCATTACTGATCAGTGTTGCCCTTGTCAATAACAAATCCTGGTATCTTAATTCTGGTATATCCTTGCTCCTTGTAAAGCACAAATATTGCATGTTCAATTAACTTTTTTTTAAATAAAATTAGATCAGTTCGTCATATATTTTTAAACCCTTTTCGTAATATTATTTTTAAGTTAATGGGTCAAGAAGAAAAATAAGGTGTATTTAAACTACAAAATAAGTTTAATAAAAATCATGTATTAAACCATTGCAGGAAGTTAGTCAACTGTTCTTAAATAATTTAGTCAGCAAATTATTTGCATTCTACTAAAAGAAATGTTACCCACCTCCCCCCTTTGACTATGTTTACCTACCTTTTGCTATCTGAAAAAGAACATCTGGGAAATCTTCTCCCAACCCTTTTACTTACTTACCTAAGAGTCAGTACTTGAATATCTTCAGTGCTCGTAACACGATTAGTAATAGAAAATATTACCTGTTTTATAAATTGATTAAATACATTATTTTTAGTTTGTATAACTTTTTACATATTTCATTTGTCTATTTCATATATCATCAATCACTATATTTTTATTAAGAACCATTATCTGTCGTATAACACTATATCTCTGATTGTATTAAATTTTTTCAGCCCTGATGATGACCCACATGTTTGGGTTGAAACTTCGGCAATAATAAAAACTTTATAATGACTGCGTCCTGAATATTTATCACCCAGGATGTAAATCATATAATGTTTTTTCCGGAAAATAATCACTCTGATTACCTCATCACTTAATTCAACTGGCATCAACAATATTTTGATCCCCATCGACTTTTTTTCAAATCATCTTAAAGTTTTCACATTTTTTTTCGTTATTCATTTATCTCTCAGTAACATTTTTCCCCCTAGCTTGCATGTTTGCCAAACGAGGATAGACAGCAGTTAATGCGTTGAGGATATGTACGCCCACTTCTGCCAATAAAACTCTTTATTTTTTCAGAATTATCTACCCGCAAATCTCCTGGATACGACCTTCTAACTCCACAGATCCTTCATCAACTACCACCCAAAGCAATCATATTCCTCACATATATATACAACTGCTTCATAAGAACTACCCATTTTCCTCTCTTATGGAAACATTCCACCATCGTCCTTTTCCTGAAACCAGCCAAACCTTCCAATAACTCATCATCCTATAGACCAATTAGCCTACTCCCAATCATTTCAAAAAATCCTATTAAAAAGAATCCTACCCATAATAGAATCACAAAACCTTCCTACCCATCAATTCGGATTTCGTTTCCAGCATTCCACCGTTCAACAAGGACTCCAAATTGTTGACTACATATCCTCATGCTTAGAAAGCAAAGAGTTTTGTTCGGGAGTATTCCTGGACATTGAGCAAGCTTTCGACCGCGTATGGCACACCGGACTACTCTTCAAGTTCAAAACCCACCTACCCCAGTCCTTATATCTAATACTGCGATCCTACATCTCTTGCCGCTCCTTTCGAGTTCGTTGTGGTACAGAATTCTCCAACTGCCATTGAATTGAGGCGGGAGTTCCTCAAGGCAGCGTCTTGGGTCCCGTCCTCTACATTCTGTTTACCGCTGATATGCCTACTCATCCCGAAACCCTCCTGGCAACATTCGCTGATGACACAGCTATCCTTTCTTCCAATCCAGATCCTAAAACAGCATCCTCAAATCTACAAAGTCACCTTTCTCTTATTGAACAAGGGGGTCAACAAAACCTTCTAACACTAAGCGCATTCAATCCTTTCAGTCTAAAGTCCTCCGAACAATAGTCGATGCTCCCTTCTATGTATCTAACAAAACCCTCCATAATGACCTTCATATCCCATTTGTTATTGACCTAATCCCAGACAAATTTTCCAAATTTCACCACAAACTCACTCATCATCCAAATCCTGTAGCACAATCAGTATCTAGCTCCAGCCATCCCTATAATCCTCCCCGGAGGTTAAAACGGCAGTGGCCCCGCGAGCTTTTGTAAATATGTATGTATTGGAGTATTGGCTATGGCCAAATTCTCCACTCATGTCCTGAGCGTCTGTTGCTTTATCACTCTCCACTGGCTTGCAATACCAGTGACGCGGCTGGGAGAGAAGCACTGGGATCTCCTGGGGTCCTGCCTTGGCTTCCCCATTTGGGGGACAAAGCATGACTCAGAATTCTCTGGGCGAATGTAAATATTGTATATAGTCGTGAATGTGTTTTATATATTTCTATTTCATTTAGCTTTTCTCTATTTTTTTATTCACCTATGTATGTTAAACTCTTTTTCTTTTATCTCTATTTTAGTTATTATTTGTATGTATATATTGTGTGAATGTTTTTTGAAGCCCTAATATTAATGCCCTCCAATACGGCAGAATGTTTTAATTTTCAAATTAAAAAAGAAATTAATTTTTTAAACTTGATTCTTCAACTCACACCTGTCAGAAGTTCCGACAATCAGCGAGGAAAAAAAATAATAAAAAAATAAATAAATAAATAAAATAAAAAATTAATAAATTTTTTTTCATTACTTTCTCTTACTGTAAAATTTAATATTTTAATAATTAAATAAATAATTTAAATTTAAATTTTGTAATAATTTAAGTTGTTTATATTGTGGTGTGGCCCTGTGCACCTTACTGCTGGGAACGCACCTTAGTCTCTTGCTGGTTGCGCATCTGGTACTCCTGTATAGCTTCCTCCACCTTGGTCCCCTTCCTTCTGTGCTGCAGTTGGACGTCTCCTCCCCCACCTCTCATATCCACCTTCTATATACTTTCCTAAGAACACCACGAAGTGAGGATATTTCTAAGAGGACCAATTGGAGAAGGCCCTCCTCTGTTAAGGCGTACAGTCATCTTCTTCCAAAGCTTCATCCTCGGTAGATGCGTTTCCAGGTTAATTCTTCCTATACTCTCATTATATCCGGTTCCAGCAGCTCATTCAAATATTCTTTCAACTGGTTTGACAGGATTGCACCATTTTTGTATTTTATAAACTTGAATACGGATTCTTTTCCGAAAGATTTATAGGTCTTATAGAACATCTTCTGGTTGCCCCCGTGGTTTTCTTCCATCTTCTCTCCAAATTCCTTCCAGGAGTCTCTTTTCGCTTGTTATAAAATTGCGATTATGCAAAACTCTTATCACATTCTGTAGATATATGCATATATACATTTAAATGTTGGACCTTTGCCAAATGCAAGGAACAGATTCTACTGAGATTCATGCTACGAATTCTCAGACCAATAAGCGCTGATAGTATCTAAAGGGTCTGCTTAGGCAATTCAAAATATATGCTTCATTATGGCGTTATGGTCGTTGTTAAATTTATCAAAGTTAAAGACTTCGCTAAGCCAAACGTGTTAGTGGAATGAATCCACAATAGGTTTTCCGAATGTCGTTAGAAGAAAACTATACACAGCTATGCACAAGATTGGATTGTGTATTCAAAGACGAAAAAAAAACCTTGGAATCTGCAACTGGAAAGCAATCCCAAATATAGATGACTGGCGGTTTAATCCTTTGACTGCGGACGGTATTCATGCCTTCCCGTTAAGAGTTGGGTCTCTGATGGGGCCGGGATATATGCCTTCCTGCCTGGACGGTCACCACTTAAAAAGTTAGGGACAAGTCCTGCCTTTATCATTTGACTTGTGACTTGGTCGGTGCATACATTAGTCTCCTGTAGCTAACTCAGTGCGGTCGTTCCGGATTCTGACCATTTGGAAGCTATCGGTTGTAGATTTATTCTGAACCAAAGCTGTTAAGGCCACTCACTATAGCCATAATTTTAAGCGCGTCAAATAGTGCACAACAGTAGCGCCATATATTGGTCATCAGAACAGTGCCATCTATTGGTGATGATGAGCAACTAGTCCTGCCTGGTGGCCTGGAAACAGAAAGGCCAAAGAACAATACCTGAGACTGTCCATAAAATGATCCCCATGACTATTATATAGTCATATAATTATCTATGGATAACATATATATATATTATTATTATTATTATTATTTATTTGACGCGAAACAGCCCTGAAGGACTACGCGACTATGGTACTGGTTTCTTTTTCAATTTCTTCCTTTCTGCCCATATCTGCTCGAGGATATCACTAAATTTTTTCTTCCTCTCCTTCGTCCACTTCCTCTTTTACGGAAGTTCTTTACTGCCCACCACAATATATATATGTATATATATATATATATAATGCAATAGTAAAAATTAATAAATGTAAAAATATACAGAATTAAAATGATACTTCAGTTGTTTTATCATTTTTCCTTTCACCTAAAAGCAATATCTATATTTCATATAATATAAAAGTGACTAAAACTGATAAATGTAAGTGCAATAATAAAATCTATAACTGTGCTATGTTTCAATGTGGAACTTTTTTAGATAAGAAAAATAGTTCGAATCTTATCGTCGGTGTCCTTTTTTTAGAAATAATATTTTTTTTTTTATGATCACTTGCAGTTATTTTTATGATCACTTGCAGTTATTTTTATAATAATTTTCAGTTATTTTGATTTTCAGAAATGAGTAAGTATGCAAGAAAGCGAAGTGTTGCGGAATTGCCGCTTTAGCGGATTTGCTATGTGCGGATGAGAGGGCATATTTTTAAAAGTTGAGTAAAAACGTTAAAATGCATTTTTGAAAACTATGATCTTGAGGGGTGACTCAAAACAGCATTTTAAACAAATTTAAACAAAACAAACACCCTTTTTTTAAATCGTCTTTGTGGATTTCAGGATACAACATATGTTCATGGCACACATATGGGCACAATGATACATGGTTTCATTTCTGAATAGAGGATACCATCTCTTTTTATCTGTATATGGTTTTCATATTAAAAAGATCATGTTCTGAGTTCTTAGAAGATAATTTTTACATTCAAAAATTAATTTGGGTACTATTTCACAAGAATAGACGGGGTTCACATTCTCTTCGGTCACACTCTTTCATCGAGTACTGAATGTATCGGGATTTTTTCGAAAGAGCATGAAGGCGACCGCTCTCTTGGATTAGTTACTAATAACCTTACTGCCATTAAAGTACTAGTTTATTCTTATCGCACTTATACCAGTACCTGTTTTTTTTTCTATCCTTCCTTGCCTGTTAGGCTACACAGGGATTTCCCGGTCTGGGGGAGGGAGCGGGCGAATAATGCCGAATCCCCGAGTACCAGGATTTGAACTCGTAATATTTTACCGTCTAAATTCGGTTATCAGGTTGCCGCGCAACGCGCGGTTCTATACACACGCATTAAGCCACTCACCCACCTTTACCCTCAGCCCCTCTCACCATCACCAGTACCAGTACATTTTCTGTGGTCTGCCCATGTTTTCCTCCTAGCTCTCTGTTTTGAAACTTTTCACTTCGAAAATGCATAACCCCGTCGAAATTTGTCTCCCTCAAACATTCAAAACGCTGTAACCCACCGCATCCATTTCTTTCTCGGTAATAAACATCCAACTAGTCGAGCTTTCCGCTGGTGGCTGTCCTTTAACTCCATGACTAGTGCTACACTCTGAAGAAATTTTCCCTCTGTTCCCTCTTTTCAACGCTTAAGTACCTGATGTTATGTTTTTTGCTTGGTAAGGACATCAAAGTGATGGGACAATGTTTGAAAATACATAAACACACTTCACTGTTAACAAAAGTTAAAAAAATATATAATTCAAAATGCCTTAATTATTCTTTAGAAGTGGAAATAAATTTCATTGTCATTTTAGATAGGTTTCGAAAGAAAAAATAATTGTTTATTAAAAAGCAGAATAGCAGAATACGTGGTAGGTAATGACATTTTAGAAGCTTAAGTAATTTTAAAATCACACTAATCTTTAATATTTTAATTTTTAATATTTCATTATGAAGAAATACTTCTTCACCATATACTTCAGCAGTGGAGAAAAAAATCAAGTTAGACTTAACTAAACACGCACGTAAAAGTTGTAATGGACTAAAACTTTCCCCTAAAATGAGAATCACCGATATTACCAAATCTAATCTCTTGTATCGATACAATACTACAAAACATCGTTATCATATCAAATCTTTATCTGTTGCTGCTTTAATTTAATCTATTCTGCGTATATACAATGACATCTAATATTTTGCAAAATGTCAATCCAAAACTATTTTTAAAATGTGATCAGAGGTTGATCACTGACGAGGAGCTTAACGATGATGTTAGGGATTTATTTGACGAGAGAGAGGTTTTTGGTATCCTTTATTCCACCCAGGTTTAGTATATTTGGTGTATTCCAACTTTATCTGTACCATAATTATTTCTTTTTTTATTGAATTGTAGTAGTGCTTCTCTGATTATAACTATGATAGGCTGTGTTGTCAGTCTTTTCTTGATCCAACATAAAACAAGACTAAGATTGGTTGCTTGAATTATTATATTTGTTTTTTTTATTGATTCACAAGAGCTAGTTAATATATTTAGTAGTTAAGATAAATAATAAATTCTGTTCAGTAATTTCTTTCACAATTAATTGTTGTTAAACAAAGAGGAAGCTAAATTATGTCTTAAGTAACAGAAATTACAGAATCTCTTTATTAGTTATCTGTATTTTTTTCTAATGGAAAATTGATGTTTCATGAAATACAAGCATGCCATCAGTCTCAACTTGTTATTTTATTTTTAAATCGATAATTACCAGCAAGTTAATACTACCTAATAAAAAGGATTAATTATTAATTGTATTTTGTAAAATTTAGAAGATAATAAAACAATCTAAGATCAAATCATTATGCATGTAGATTCATAGTCAAAGGGATAACCGACACACATATGTACTAAATTTATTAGATGCCTAGATTTGAAAATATATATCTTATAGTAAAGTATATAATTTCTGTATTTTAAGCTGCATAAATATTGAACAATTTTAATAAGATGCAGAGCATGAGATTGGCACATCATTTCCCTGCATGACCATTGGCCTTGTAACTTCTTCACATTGTACTGAACCCAAGATCCTTCATGGGTTGTTAGTGGTAGGTTTTTAATAAGATTGAACATTAACATTACAAAGTATTGAAGATACAATGTCTCCTTTTACTATGATTATTGATAGCATTGTCTATTATTAGTTTCAGTTGGTATTTATCTTAACTTATGGCCTACTAATATGTATTTAGATGTTTCCATTATTTTATTGTAATAAATTTTTGCTGTCTTTTTAGTCAATCTTAATATTACTAATGATTTTAAGAAATAACTTCTAGAATTCAGTGTGATGCAAGTTTATTATGTAAAATAGTGTTTTGTGTTAAAAATAATGGCAATATAATGGTTCCCAAAAAGGTTTTGTTTTCCTTAATCATGAATAAGATTTAATTAGGAACATAAATGATCCTGAACATCCACTGACATTAGAGGAGCTACATGTAGTTGATATTGATAACATTATGGTAATAGTTTATTTGTTCATTACATACATCGTATTTGTTGACTATTATATTCATATAATTTATTTGTATATTACAACTTATCAATTTCTAAAGATATATTAAATTTTTTGAACAGGTGGACAATGATAATAACAGGATAGAAGTGTTATTTACACCTACCATCCCTCATTGTAGTTTAGCTACCTTGATTGGTCTAACGATTCGGGTTCAACTACTTCGTTCTCTTCCCTCTAGATTTAAAGTGAGAGTGAAAATTTCTCCTGGGACTCATAATTCAGAAAATGCAATCAACAAGCAACTTGGGGATAAAGAGAGAGTTGCTGCAGCAATGGAAAATTCCACACTTTTGGAAACTATTAATAATTGTATTGCCACCGTAGAGAAGACTACCAAACAATTTTAGTATCTTTAAAACAATGGAATTTAATTATACTGATTTTAAACTGTATTTGTACATAAGGTAAACAAAAATAAATATTGTTTTCTATTTCATCAAATATGTCTCAAATATATATTTTTATTTATACTCTGTTTTAACAACTCTTTTATTATATTAGAACAGAAATGAAGCCTATACACTACAACCCATTAGCTTATAAAGAAGTAAATTGTATAGAATCCTTACTCAACTGCTGCATTTTTTCCATAACTCACTATGAGTTCATGTGCCTCTTTGAACAAGAATACCATTCTGACCTCTAGAGTAGTGTATCAGATGTTTTTTTTTGTTTTTTTATTGAAATCTGTTTAAAAGAATGAAGTAAAACCCTTGGGGATTCATTTGAAATAATGTTATTCGTATGTAATCTGTAGTTTGTGTACAACATAGTGTCTATTGCTAGGGTTCAGAAGATGTTGGCTATATGCTCAGAGGATTAAAACTAGAATAACAAAGGAGACTGGTTATGAATAGAGATGGGAGAAAAAACGCTAAAAGTTTGAAAATAACAATTCTTGATCTCAAACGAATGAACTATTCTTCCAAACGGATAACAAAAGTTTTGTTTTTTTTAGTTCACACGTTTGCCACTAGTCGAATTGCTGTTAGAAGCTCTTTCTGTTTTCCAACTAACCTATCTGTTCATCATGAAAATATCCCAAGAGTTTTATTTATAAGACATGTTTCAACTATTATGTTTAGCTCCCATTATTAATGAAAGCTAGAAATAAATAAAAACTTGCATTATAGTTACTACATTACTAAATTAACTTGAGCACATTTGTAAGCAAAATTAGTTTATGTTTTTAGATGTATCTGTCTATATTAGTGTCTTCAGACCGAAAATAATTTTTACGATTGGACATATTCACATAAATCAATTTAAGTACATAAATAAAATTAAATATTATAATTGAAGGGAAGAATGGTTAGGGTGATCAGTAAAAAAAAATAAAAAAATAAAAAATAAAATTGTTCTCTTCAATCATTCACTGCAGTCAATCATTAATCCACAATTATAAACAATATTATGTTCTATAAAAATTGAAAAAGGCAAGCAGTTGAAACATTTTTAAACTACAGTTAAATGAATTATAATGCCCAAGCAGCGTAATTTCGAACTAAGAACAACACTTGATAAAGAAATATGGCAAAACATTGATAACAAATTTGTTTGAAAAAGGAAAAATTCCTAAGCTCATCGATAGTACCGGATCCATCTTTACACTGGGCGAAAGGATATCATCAATAAGCTCATCGTTGAGAGTTTAGCAACTTGTCCAAAATCACAACCACGTGATTAATACATGAAAGTTAAAATATTATTAAAATAAAGTGTTCTATGCGTAAATTTTTTTTTTAGTTTTAATTAGTTAAAAAGTAATTTTTAAGATTAAGCATTCGGCTAATATTAAAAATGAATTAAAAGGTTATCAATTTCAAGCTCGAACAATGCCAAACTTTATACATTAAACGTTTCATTCATTTCCAGACTTGTCATTAAACGAATTGAATCAGTTTTAAAATGAATAAGACTATTATCAAACGAATAGGTCTTACACCATGAATCATTGCGTTGTTCTATGAACTATTTTTATTCAACAGTTCTTAAGAACTGTTGTTTTTTGTCAAAGAACAGTTCATTTACGTTTTTCAAAAGTAGCAGAAACGCCCAACTCTAGTTATGAATGCTGAAAAGATATAATGTATGTTATCCATTGATATAAATCTAATATCAAAGGGGGCATTGGAAAGGTTCAGCATTTTGAATACACTAGCTTCACAATCAAATTATTTGGATCCAGTAGTTTGCTTATATTTTGGTGTTATTACTTATAATACTTGTGAAGTATTACAGATATACCTGAAAATATATAAAGTACCTGCGTAGTACATAACGTAATATAGAATATACTATTTATGCATAAAAAAATTATACTGTTTATGTATAGATATAATTAGAACCGTGGAATAATAAAAAATACGAAATATAAATTTTTCTGAATTTTTTTTTTTCTTGTTGAATATTTATAGACTGGACTATACTGCCTTTCATACAGTATATTAGCTTATTTATACATTTATTGTAAATTAGTATTTAACATAGTAGTATAATAGACGTTAGATAAATTATGTTTTAACAAGATAAAATTGAAAAGATTAAATATGTTGCTATCAGTAGAGCATCCCTAATAATAAGGAGGGTTGAATGACTTACAGAATGGAAATCCAGAATGTTAAGAGCATAATTCATAGGGGGTGGATTAGATGGGCAGCATCCAGTAATGATCAATCTATAGGCTTTTAAAAATTAACTTACATGCTCTCTGATGTCTCATTGTGCTACCTAGATAGTATCTTATTATATTACTTGCATAGCTAGGGTTATTTATTTAAAGATTTTGTGATAAGAATTTTTAATATAATTACATAAAAATTACAAGTTCACATTTTAAATTTTTACATACAAAATTCTAATATACCTATTTACAGCATTATATTATAATATTTTTTACATAATTTAATCCCTCTTTCGAGCTTCTATAGCAGATAAGTTTCTAGGAGGTTTAGGTCGAGTAGGGTCAAATTTATAAGTTTTTTGTACTGCACCTTTACCAGCTCGCATAAAATTCATTTGATCTATCCTCTCTCTATCTTCAAGTTCTCTTGTTATTTTCAGATTGGTCCATGCTAAAATTTTAATTGTAATTAATATAATAAAATGTGATATCTACTTCATTCTGGATAAAATTTAATGTAAAAAGACTTTAATGGAATAGATAACTGATTGTCAAGGGAATGTTTTCAAGTATCTTCTCATTTTAATATCATATTTTTATATTTACGCTATAATTGCACATGGGAATGTTAACTGTGTCTATATAAGCTGTTTTTTATTATAAGCTACAGCTTGAAAAATATTTTTATTATATAATCAGAACATACTATTTTTTTATATTGTTGGGTATGTAGTGAATATAAAAAATCCAAGTTTCCACCCTTGGATCAAAGCCATGTGGGTTTGCAGGAGTGCTCCAAAAACCATTGAAATGGCAAACGTTTTTTGGTTTACACTAAATATCTCCTTTTGAAAGCGAGGTAGATAGAAAATGGTTATATTTAACCTTAAAAATTATCTAAGATTTTTGTTCATAGCACTTTTTTCTAAACCCAACAGGAAGCAAACTATCGAGCTTTCAAAATTGACCCATTTCGATTTCTTCGCAATAGTGCTCTTTCATTTTTAAACGGAAGGATTTTGAACTTCATCCAGAGAATTTGTTTTCCTTGAAGATAATGAGCCATTGACTGGAACAGTAAAAAGTAGTCGGGAGGTGTTTTGAAAAGTATGTTCCACAATGTAACAAATCCTCCTACTGTGCACTCTCCCCCCAAATCCTAATAAAATGCATATAGTTGAGTTACTTGTGACTACTTATTAAAAATAAGCCAATGTTTCTACACAAAAAAAGTGGCCGCACTGTCCCAAAATAGTGTCCAAACATAAACGGATTGACATCTTTGACTGATTTAGTTTTTCAGTCACTGGGATTGGGATTCATTCAGCATTTGACTTAATTTTGTAATAATTGTTCTTTTATAAAAGCTTAATAGTTTGAAAATAATGAAACATGAAAAAATATTAAAAAATAATAGGCCTTGTTAATAAAAAACATCAGTTAGGTTGATTTTTTCGAGTCGTTCAAACAAAAGTTGAAAATCAAACATTGCTTGGAAATAAACAGCTAACAACAACAAAAAGCACCTCAAAATAAATATCTGGAGAATACATTCCTCTTTCTAAAACACTGATTACTTTTTTAAATATTTGAAGGGGTTACGTACAAAATGCATTTAATCGGCGGAAATGCAGCATTGGCATAGTTATAAGAGTTATAATAATGTTTTTAGTACATTATTTTGATTGCATTAACAAACAAATATTTTGTTCAAATGAAATGTTTGTTATTTATATGGTTGAAATGTTTTATATTTAAAAAAGTAATCAGTGTTTTAGAAAGAGGAATGTATTCTCCAGATATTTATTTTGAGCTGCTTTTTGTTGTTGTTAGCTGTTTATTTCCAAGCAATGTTTGATTTTCAACTTTTGTTTGAACGACTCGAAAAAATCAAATATATTAATGTAATTGTCCAAACTAATTTTTTGTGGAGAAATCGAACAATAATCCTTAAGAACACAAAGGTATGTAATTTGGATAATATTAATTACTAAAAAATTTATTAGGATAAAGTTCATTTAAAAGTAACAAGAAACACAGTAATTGTTGATGACTAATTTAAAAAATATAAGTGGAAAGCAGTAAAACTAAATTTAAAAGTTTTTTTTTCAAATTTCTAAACATTAATTTTTTTTAACAATTTGTACTGAAGGTGTTACTAAACTAAAGAGAAATATATTTCCTATAAAAGCTATAGCAAATTATGTTTACTTTAATATTTGATTTAATAAAAAATCATGCATGCTCTTTACAAATTTTCAATATTTAATCAATTTTGAAAGCTCGATAGTTCACTTCCTGTTGGGTTTAGAAATACATTCTATCTATGTTCCTTTAAAAAGGAGATATTTAGTGTAAACAAAGAATTTTTTGAAAATCAATGGTTTTAGGAGCACTGTAGAGAACCCACAAGGCTTTCAAGAGCAGAAAATTGGATTTTTTATGTTCACTACTTATCTAAAAATATATATACATAAAAGAAATTTGAATTACACGACCTTTTGCAAGCTAGACCCTTTTTTTGTTCTAATTTGACTGGGCTATTGAAGCTATGTGTTGAGAATAATTCACTTATTCTCACTTTTAAAAATTACATATTTTTGTCTTTGATATGAAGCCATTCAATTATATTATAAAACATTAGAGCAATACTTACTTTCTTTGATCCCCTTCACAAAACCTTTATCTTTTATTGGTAATTTTTGAGTATCATGCTTTTTCAGGGGGTCAATATTGAAAAAACTTCTAACTTTGGGTATTCGAAGAAATGACACTTGTATGAGAGAAATAAAGTTGGTTGAAGTCCAGTAAACTAAAATAGCCTGAAAATTACCAAAAAAAAAAATGTATTGTAACAAACTTGAAAATTTCATATAGTAAATTGTAATAGTTTAACAGCTTACCGCAGGAAATCCCATTGTAAAAGGAAATATGATGATAGGCATTGCTCTCAATGCATATTTCATCATACCTAAACTAGAAGTTCTGGCAGCATCTGTCCCTACCTAAAAAAAAATTCATAAAAACTGCTTAAATGTAGAGGAGAATCTTCTTCAAAATTAAAAGGAATCTTTTGATTAAACCTCTTTTAATATCTACCTTATCCTTTATTGATGGAGTATAGAGGTTTTGAACATTGTTTAGAAGTATAACAAATATATCTTAAAATAAAATAAAAAGATTACCTCAATGGTTACAGCTAATGTGAGGCTAGTAATTATGGGAAGTAAATAAAATTGATCACATAACGTTAGATCTGTAAACCACAAAAACCCTCCATTTCTTAAACTTTCCACTGGTAAATTTGCCATTTCTCTAAGTCCCATGAAGAATGAAATAAAAAGTGGTGCCTGGAAAATAAATAGCGAATATAATATTGAATCGATTCACCATAGAATAAAACAATAAGTATATCTATAACCACACTGCAAAAGCCTTTAAGAATAAAAATTGAAATTATTCATAAGACAAAATAAAATGTATATTTCTTATTTCATGAATTAGATTTTACTGTTAAATTTTTACTGCATGCTTAAGATAAAGACATAAAGTTTTACTGCACATTTTTGACTTATATTTCTAAACTAGCAGACCCGTGTGAATACTTCGCACAAACCCTATATTTGTATCAGATTTCAATACGTTAAGGACTCAGCATACGTTCCATTAAGTGATTTTTCCATGCAAAGGTTTGATACTTTTATTTAGTAAGTTTATCAGTTTATAAATATAATAATCAATACCCATACATAGTTTAACCATTCCTAGTTTCATTAAATTTATAATTATAATATTATATTTTTCTAAAGTTTACAAAAGCTTCTAAACATTGCCTTTAAATATCTGATGAAGGTTAAATACTTTGGATTTAGTTCTCTGGAAGGAAATTATTTGACCTAGCAGGCTGTATGTACAGAAAATAAAAATAAAAAAAAAAGAAATGTTTCTTTTGTCGTTAAAAATAATCAAGTAAATTTTCAAAATGATAAACATCTAATAGCCTGTATTTTGTATGTAATATTTTATTTAAAATGAAGTATATTAACAAATATTCCAAAAATGTATATTGGATGATGTATTTATAGCAATATAAACAAATTTAATAATTAATTTAACAAAACCAAATGTTTTGAAATTAGCTAGAATAATTACTTATTGATACAATGTATACTGTCTCAGGAAAAAAAGGGTCATTGCCAAGAATTTGAAATTCCAAATGAACAGCAGAAGATAAATTAGGGTAGATTAAGAAATATAATTAATTGTGTTAGGGCTTTGTCCTGCCATTATTAGTCTCAGCAACTAATACTTATAGGATATTGGCCCTTCAAATGATGAATGTATATTTTATCTAGCAGTTGGTACAAATTAATGAATAAATTGGTATAAATTAATTACCACCCCTTTTCATTCCAAGGATCAGTACATATATATCAACATTTTTTATCTCAGCCTATCTACAGTTAGTAAATTTGTAAATTATTTGTATATTATACAACAGTTTATTATATCTAAATAATTAGAAATTATTTATGGTATGTGCTACATACCATACTACTTTTCTCACAAGAAAAAAAGTAATGTATTATTAAAAGTGTTTACTAATATTGATCAACATAGGAATATTTTATAACATTTTCTGTTAAATAAAAAATTCTACTAATAAAATTTATAATATCGAGAAAAAGCTTTATTTTATTCCTACATATTAATTCCATGCTTTAAACAATTTAAATGATCCAAGCATATATATTTATATATATATAAGGGTAAAATAAAGCTTTTCCTCGATATTATAAATTTTATTATTAATATATACCCTTGAAAAAATTTAAAGATTAAATGAAAAAATAAAATAGGTGCACACAACACAACTTTCACTCACTGCTCAAAATATATAGAAATTATTTTCTGGTAATGTTGGGCTCTTATAAAATTTTTGAATTACATTTTTAACAGAACTAAAGCTAAAAAAATACAGCTAACAAATCGTAAATACCATTAAAATAATAAAAGTCCTATTTATTATATCACCCGTTGATTATGGATTGTACCATCCGATGATTATGGATTGCAGTTTTTGGACTCAGGGTACCTCAAAACGTGTATTTCCGTTAAAAACTCAGATTCGAAAATTTTCATGATTGCAATACTTTCCCTTACTATATACTACATATATAGATAAGTGAAAGTAAAGATTGTATGTTATTATTTTCTGCCTTTGGACTACACAGATTGCAAGATTATTATATACAAATCAATCGCTTTATTTTTTTTTTTTTGTGTTAAATCAGATAAAAATATTGGTGATAGCATAAAAAAAAATAAATAGGAGTCCTGCACGGAATAGTTCGGAATCAAATAGTTGAGAGAGTTCTTCTGCCGGATAAATAAATTTTTTATTATAATTGATGACCTCAACAGGAATTGAACAAAACATTTGTTTGTTTCTTGAGGGCTTTATTGACCTTTTAGATCTCTTACCCTTATAACCAGCCTTTTTAACTCCTGTCTATCTTAAGTCATTGCTTTCCAGTTCTGTGGCATCTTTGGTTTCGATCAATCTATTTGGTTTCTGATCTTTTGCATACTACTAAAGCAGTTTGTTTCGAGCTACACATCCTATCCATCTTAATCTCCTTGATTTATTATCATGAGGTGTTGATTGACCAGCTTCTGTAAGGAGTTATTTGTTGGTTCTTTTCCATGTGTTCGCACTCTAATCTCTGATAATTCCATTTTTGCGCAGACTATGTTCCTCTCAAATCTTTCAATACTTCTTTCTAGGATGCTGATTAGTGTCCAGGTCATACAACCATCAGAACTGGCTTTATCAAAGCATTTTACATTGTTAATTAGAGATCTCAAGAATTTTTGCAATATTTAAATAATTTTAAAAGAGAGAAGAAAGATCTGTTTGTGCTTGTTATACGTTGGTCCATTTCTGATCAGTTGGTCATTTATTGAGGTTATTATGGAGCTGAGGTATTAGCATCTATCTACTTTCGAGAATGCTTTCTCTTCAATTCAGATACTATAGTTGGAATGGAATTTTCGGCTTACTATCATGTGTTTTGTTTTATCATCATCTGAACTAATAAGTTGTCTGGGGAAGTCGATGCCAGATTGATATAAGAAAGATGTAAATGTTGAAATGGGGGTTACCCCCAGACTTTCTCTTCAGTACTTTCAGAGCCATGTGGGAGGATGCAATATATAAATTTTACACTGGTATAATTAAACTACATTTTAGTCAATTAAGAAGTTTGTAATAACATGATTAAATTTTCAATATGATTTTATTTACTGCACTCAAACAGCCCATGTAAATGATGGAATGATATTTTAAGTTAAAAATTAGATTTCATGGTCGAGTTGAAGGAAATTTTGTCTAAGATTAGCATTATTAGTCTACTAGAACATTGTTTCTATGTGTCATTTTTAAGATATATTGCAACATAAGGCCCAATAAAGTATATAATACATAAATTTTAATACATTACCTGAGCTAATGGTACAACCATATTCTTAAATGGATTCAAACCTTTTTCCTTCATAAATACCATCATTTCTTGACCATGTCTTGCCGCTAAAAAGATAACAAATAATTATTATAAAATGAACTTCAATGTCTTTATAATAGAATTACTTCAAAAAATAATAATAATGAATGTACATAAACTAATTCATTTAGTTTATGTACATTCAGGAGGAGAGAGAGAGAGAGATTTAAATTTATTTACACTAATAAGTTCCATGACCAGAATAATTAATCTATATTTTTCTGTACCCATTTATTATTTTTAAGAAACTTGGTCACAGATTAAAGTTGTTTTTCTATTCTATTCTATTACAACTTCATGGTTATAAAGCTCATGAATGACTTAATAATAATTTACCATCTAATCTATCTCCTCTTTGACGAGCTTCTGTCATTTTCAACTGAATTGCTTGCATTTCTGGTAAATGATTGCTCATTATTGCCGCATTCCTTTGAGATATTATCACTAGAGGAAACAGGAGGGTCCTGACGACTACCGTACCTGGATAACAATAAATACAACAAAATATGATTCATACTTAATTTAAACATATACATTTTTATTGAAATTTACAACTGTATTGGCTAAAAATGCAACTAATACATTTTTTATTATCTATGATATTTACAACTGTATTAGAAATAAAAATGTATTCAGTAAATGTGAACACAAGAATATAAAAACATGAAACCACTTGTTGAGAAACTACACACTGGTAGCACTCTTAATTAATAAATTTGAATTGGAAATATGACATGTACAACATGTAAAGAAACTGCCCATTAAAATCACTCCAATTATAGTTCAATAGTAGAAGGTCCAGAGGCCATCTTCTTCTCAGAAGCCTCAGAGGATTGTCAAGAATCGAAGAGGAAGCAAGATTAGAAACAATTGGGTTTGATAGGCTTGAAATTTATTATGGAAAATTAGATATCTGGATTGGGCTAAGTCGGTAACATATGGAACATTAAGGTAATTATGGATAATTTTATTTGAAACAAAGTAGGGAGCATTGATGATTTTGCGAAACATTTCGGATTGTAATAATTGGATATGAGAGGAATTTGATGATTTATAGCCTCACATGTTTAAATTAAAATTAAAATATGTTAGCTTTAGTTAATCCTTTTTTTCATCTCTAGACCTTCATCAAGCTGATTCTAACAAAATAATTGCGAAGTTTCTGCTTTCTTGTTTGTCAATGTTGGCCATCAGTCCTCCATCGACAAGTAAGAGAGGAAGGCCATCATAATTATTGCATTAGAATCAGACTGATGAATGTCTAGAAAATAAAACCAATCACAAAAAATAATTAACCACACAGGAAGATATATTTTCACTTTAATTGACCTAATCCTTTAACATAAAGCCTTAGTAGTTGGGTACTTGCATTACAAAAAAAAATTCATAGATTTGAACTGCAATAGAATTCAAGTGAAAATGAACATATGTAAGATCGAGATAGCATTTTTTAAATAACAAAAAAAAATTGTTTATATTTAGCTAAAAACTTCAAATAAGAATGCATCTGGGAGCTGTTGTGTAGGTGGAATAGTGGCTAGAGTTCACTGTAGAATAGAATGTAATGCTGTCTGATCTCACTCAGCTATGCTTTCACATTTTGGATTCTGTTTTTGAATGTTTTTTTGTTTTTTTTATTAATTATTTTATAATTATGAAATAGTCTACTTTCTAAATAGACAGTTATTTAAAATAAAAAATTACTTTATATAATTTTTTAGAAAATATTATCTATATATTAACAAAAGAAAATTAATAAATTATTAGCAAATTTTCACATTAATTCTGCATATTTTTTAGATACAACTTAATTACTTCGGAGTGTTTGAAATACTCTTTATTTTTTAGAAAAATAATTCTTAAGATCTAAAAACGAAGTTGCTTACTCAAATATAAAAATAGTTATAATCACATCATAATGGATAGGATCATTACATACCAACAACATTGATTTTAAAAAGATCAGGACAAGGCACTGTGTACCTAGGAAAAGATACTGCTGCTCTTCCCTTTTTCCCCATCACCAGCTGACAAAAGAATCCACTGTCAAATCATAGTTTGTAGACATAAAACTGTGTTATAATATGACACATTATAACATTATAAAAATTTTATAATGTGTTAAACACTATTATAACATTTTTTTTTAATATAAAACTTGGATTATTGTAAATTGAAAATCTTGGCCTGCTGTCGAAGAAAAGAAATTGGCACCAATAATGCAGTTCAATGGTAACTACATTAACAACTAGAGCCACCTACGGACAAATTCCAGTTTCATATTTACACACCTGGTATTATATAGATATATTGGCCACAAAAAAGGATGACCCCAGAAAACATGGAGGGATTAAAACCAAGCTAAGATGGAAAAGAGGCAAGCATTTGGGTTCTTTTTATGAGGGTCCTGGCAAGGGACTGCGAAGACTGGTGTAAATAGATTGAGCTCCCTTCACACTGAAGGACCCTAAAAAGATGTATTATATATATATAATACATCTTTTTAGGGTCCTTCAGCGTGAAGAGAGCTCAATCTATTACACCATATATATATATATTGTAATACTTTTAAATTTTTTCTCATTGACGCCTTAGAAATTTTTCCAATTTATCATTCGTAATAAAAGTTCAACAGGTGTCTGTACTAGCACCCATATGACATTAAAAGATTTCAGAAATTATAAATGTAATCCACAAATTAGAAACTGGAGTCAGTCAAAATTGGTCCTTTCCAAATAATGGAAAAGGATTCTGTGAGTGTAGGATTCAAGAATTAAAGAACACGGAAAAGGTCTCAAAATATAAATAAAAAATTTGCTGTGATTAAAATTAAGATTGATATTTACAAAGAACTCGAGAAAGAAGAATAAATTAAAGAGTTTTAGATTTTAGTAACACTGTGATACTTAACTATAGTTAAGTTCTTACCAATAATAATAGCACCCCACCATGGGAGATCACAAGAAATATGAAGGAATTCCATACAGTTTTGTACAATCCCTACTGGACTCCATCCCCCAAGACCGATGCTCTCAAATGTTGGTTCAACACCTGGGATCTGAAATAACAGTTAAAAGTTAAATCTCACAGAAGATTATGTTTTTTCAAATACGAGTATATAAATATATTACCCATAATACTTGATTAACCTTATTTAAATCCAATAAAATATTTATCTTAAACCATGTACAAATTGGTAGTCTGCCATCAGGCAATATTCACCAGACATGGCAGGTACTGCATTTATAAAATACTCAGGACAAGAGGAAACAATAATAAATAATTTGAGGAGTTGATCGGGTAGGGGGAGGGGTGCTGTCAAATAAATACAAAATAAACACTGTGTTTCAACTGCCTCCCGCAGTGCTACTTCCTATGCCCTGCAAAGTGGATCGAAACGTCAGCAAAAATTAACTAATACTATTTGTTTAATTTAGTATTTATTTGACCGCACCCCCCGATCAACTCCTTCTCATATTATATCAATGGTCAACCATCTCTACATCAATAATAAATAATTGTTGAGGAAACAATAAAGAATAGTTTATGACAACTATCAAACCACCACATCAATGTAAACAATATTGTTTTTACAAGCAATATATTAACATGTTTCATGTTAGAAAATAAAGGATGATATAATAAAGTAATATAAATTTATTTTCAAATTATCTCTTTCACAGTTCACGAACCTACCTACCTGTTCCATTTCTCATTTTTACAAAAGACAAATACTAAACAGTTAAGGATATTGGATGTATTTTTCTAACAACCAGTAAACAAATGTAGATGGGTCATTCTCAGATTTTGAGAGTTAAAGATTTTTAATTAGAAATAATGCAATCTGCCATACCCAATGGTTTTGACTTTACCAAACAACCAGACGAAGAAGAAATCAATGATGCCATTGAATAACTAATGAACAATAGAAATCCAGAATCAGACAACATAGCTAAGGAACTTCTGGAGGCTGTTGGGAATGAAACAATAAAGATTATCTCCATAAAAAAAAGGAGATCTAAAAGTAAACTAATGGCAGTAGGATATAATATATATATAACTCCTGACGTGCACATACAAGGTCCTATTTAATATCATCTTTCAGAGGCTGCTTCCGCATACAGAAAGTGTGATAGGAGCTTACCTGTGAGGTTTTGTAAGAGGGAAGTCTACCATTGACCAAATCTTAGCTTTGAGGAACCTGCTTGAAAGAATACGGGAATATAATATCATCATAGATCACCTGAGCATAGTAGTGTATATGAAATAATGCAGAGTTGTACTAAATTTACCAGGAACTCAGATGCCATACTACAATTTACAATTTACAAGGTTATCAAATCTATAGTGGGCAGGGGAATGTGGCAAGAATTGGACAGTGACTTACCAAGTTAGACTTCTTGATTTTTGTTAATAATTGGGGAATGTAGATAGAGAGAGAAAGAGAGGACAGCCACAACTAAGATGGACAGACTTCTCAATCCTCTACCAATTTATACTACACTTGTTTTATGAAAGTTAAAAGGCCAGACGCAAAAAAGTATGGTAATTATAAATTCCGGCAGTTCAACCATATTTGAATTTTTTTGTTAATTTATAAAAAATGTCTGCAGCTCATAACTTTCTCTATACTACTTGGTCAAACCAAAATTTAACTTTTTTATTTGTTTACATACAGAAAGTAATAAGTGATGTGCCATTTTTATCACAAATTTAAAGATACAAGGTTTAGATAGAGCTGATACAAAAAAACTGGAGTTGACAATTGAAAGGTTTACCTCAAATGAAGTCAATGTTTCTTCCAATGGCAAGACCTAATGAAAATAATTAAAAGAAAAATATTTAGCATTCTAAAAATTATACTTGTATGAATAAGTAGAAGTTTCTTATATGTAGCATATATTCTAAAATATCTACAAATTATTTTTATTTCCTAAACTTATATACATATTGCTCATTGCTCCAATAATCATAACTCATGAAATTCATGATTTTTCAGGAAGAAGTTTTAAATTTGATTACAATCAAAAGGATGATCTTGAGGTTCAGTCAATAAATGAAAAACTCTATATTAGAAACATTCCGGGACTTTACTGCTCTCATATTCATATCCTGCAGTGAACATGTTAATAGAAAAAATCTAGAAGATAATTATTACTTATTGAAATATTATAAACTAAGTTTAAAGAAAAGTAATGATGAAATTGTACTTACAATTGCTGAAAATTAACATCCACTACAATGAACAAGTTTTAGGATAATGCTGACTTTGTGAATGAGAATGAGTAAGAATGGAGAGAGGTTAGAAAGGTCCTTGAAAAACTTATTGGTTAAAGAATATGATTGTAATTTATCAGGTTTCTTATATTTTAATTGAGATTTTAAGATGTCTTAATAATTGAATATTAGGGGGCAAGAGTTGCGAGTGGGCTAAGCCTTTGCAATAGATTATCAAAGTTAAACAATTTCGAGTGTTGTAGGTACTTGGATACGTGACCAACCACTGGAAATATTTGACAATTTCTTTGAAAGATTGTCTTCTTGAGTATGTGAAACCCATCAGGTGACTGGAGACAACTTCGATTGATTGTGTGTAGTGGTGATGATCCTAACCCGTATAGCTTAATCAGGGATCACAATGTAGTTTTTCAAGAATCTTATCAGCCACCTGAAGGTTTCATCCATAGACGTTCTGTTATCAGGCACAGAAATATAGGTTCTTGTGCTTGTGCTGAGACTGATCAGCCATAATCCGTAGATCTAGACCAATTTGAAAATTTTCTTGAATCAGCAATGCCGGTTTGAATCTGGACTGGGTGGGTCGAAAGTTATTATGGTAAGGAAATGGATAAAAGAAAAAAGTACATACTAACTGTTGGAAGCTTGGCCCTTATGCAACCACTGGGATAGTCTCAGCCACTCAACACTATTGATGATAGAGGATATGTCAAATAGAAGAAGCACGACATACTTATCTGCTCTCTCAGCAGGGCATAAGATGTTCCTTTGTCTATAATGAATTGGATGGTCCAGTCTTGAAAAGACAAAGTGTAGGTTCGTTATCAGCAAGTTCTCCAATACTGTGATGGAAGGGAGACACATAGACTTGTCTCGTTTTCTCTAAAAGAGCCTGATGTTGGCTATTTTCCGGCTTTTTTGAAAGTATCCACTTTGACACTGACAACAGGCTTTCTTCAATATACGGAATACTATTCTTGTTGATTCCTGCATCAGTTATGCCTAAATTACTTAACTTACCTGTTCACTGGTATTTTAACTGTCCACAAGCCCAGAGATCTCATATTTCTTAAGGTTGGAAAATGTCCGTATCAGGTGTCCAACTCTGCCCACTTGTACCAAAAAACGAAGGAATATTAGAAGGATTGTTCATCATTAATAGCTGGCTTTTGATAATTAACTCACTGAGCTGAAATCCCTTCTATTCGTTTGATCGGATGATCATATTCTACTAGATATCTTTACAAGAATTGGTATCTATGCAAGATTTGAACATCTCAATGGCAGATATTTCTCTTTTAATTTAATTTCCTTCAGGTAGACACTTGGCTTCAAGTCTTAAATTCTGTATGTATGCCACTCTATCACTTTCGAGGCATCAATACTATCATTCATGCAGAATAAGACTTAGCACGTTAATTATACTTATTGGGCTCTTTCCAGCCTTTCTACTTTTCTTTTACAATTTCTGTCATACTTCTTGATATCTCAAATCTTTGTTGAATAGGCCTCTTTTTATTTATTTTTTTTGTTCACAGTGGTTTTTTTTTTCTAATCGCCTTTCTCCTGCTTATTTTATTCAGGACTACATCAAAAGTCATGCTATGTTCATACTTCACTCTCTACTAGTTGTGGATGTATCGTAACTCCTCTATGCCGAGAAGTCAAAGGAGCATCCTCTCCATAAGTGCAAGGATAACATTTTTTTTGATTCCTCTCTGCTTGCCTTTTAAAGCTATTTTCCTCAAGTGATAAAGTTTTGGATCATTCGACAAGAGATGGTTTCTTACCGTTAATATTATCACAAACTTTGATACTTCCTATTAATGCATGCCCACAGTTTTTCATTGGCTGTTAGTAAGCTATTATTTTCATATTATATTAAAATAAGCTTTACCCTGTTCAGATTTTCTTAAAGCTTCTTTTTCAGGAGAACACTCAAGAGTACTTTTAACTATTGGTTTAGACCCTTCAATCGCTTAATATCTTCCAAGATGTATATTGACAATATACAGTTTGTCAGTATACTTTCTATGCATCAATTTAATTAGTAAAATTAAATGTCATAATAATCTATAACCTTCCACAAAATAATTCTTTTTTCTCAGAATAATTGTTAAAAAGGGATCCCTTAGAAGCATTTGGTGTTTTTAATTTTCTAAGTGGATTTTATTAATTAATATTAATTATTATTAACTATTACAATTTAATGATTAATATATTATTTTTATTTAATGTTCGATTGTTTTTCAAATTTAATGTTTGATAAATTTGTTTTCAATTAAGAATTTGTATACATTTACTTGGGTATTTAGACATGGCAAAAAGTGCGCCTTCCCTCTCAGAAAATTCTTGGATCCACCACATTGGATAAGAACAGTGCAGGCAGTCACAGCAATGATCTTGAAATTGAATATGTTTTCTTCTAATGAATAAGGACCATGAAGATACAATTTAAAAACATAACACTTATTCATATATGCATAATATACTCTACATTATATCTTGTTTTAAGACCAGTTTTATTTGCAAATGACTTTTAGAATGTTAGAATTTGGTAGAGTTAGCCTGACTGAGCAATCATCCCTTTGTTAATTTGTTTTTATTTTATTTTTTTAATATACTTCATTTTGATAAAACTAAATAGTGTAGTTAGAACAAAAATGAATACACTGCCTCAAAAAAGTTTCCATACAGTAAGCTGTTCTTAAACATTGGCTAATAATCTATTAATTCTATTATTTTTACTAACCAGAAAGCGTAGTTGTTCGGGTTAGGAGTCAATATATAACCAACCGTTATATTTGATCCATAGGTTCA